TGAACATGATGAAATAGTTTAGGTTAATTTGAATGACTTTCACTAATCCTTTATAGTTTATATTTTGTGACATCACTGTTTTAGTGAAAGTTTTATTTTAACTAAATTCTTTCTCAGATTGTGCAAACTTAGCTACTAGATTAAATTACAATTGAATATTGCACATTATCATTAAAATCTTAATTTAAAACTGAGCATGGATTGTAACTGATAAAGTAAATCTTTAACAGAAAGTAAATGGACATATTCATGTAAGATTTTTAACTTTCACTACCCCAGGATGCAGTTTCAGCTTTCCTTGCCCACTAGTTCTTGAGAAGAAGATTTTCCCTATCAAAATTCTAAAACTAACCATTAATGTAAAGCAGTGGGAGGTTAGTTTGGTTTCAGTCATTATTTTGTCATCCACAGTTACATCTGGGGATTTTCTAAAGGCCATGACCTAGATCTAAACAAATTCACAGATCCTGTGACGCCGTATATGGTATACGGCACGGCTTTTTTGACACGGGTTTCCAAAATCATATTCACATTTCCCTGCCGGTGGCCATAGACGTAGTGGTAATTGGAGGTAATCTGTAGTGTGAGCGATGCCCCAAGATATGGGTCTACATCGGCCTAGTAGACCTTAAAGTATCAGTCACATTATCAGTCAGGGGCATAACTTGAACAATTTATTTTCAAAAATAACTCAAATGAGTCTCAATGAATTACTTCTCTTTGCTATGACCTACTTCTTCCCAGCCTTAGTAACTCAAACACGTTATTTTTCCAAAAAAGCTTCAATAAAATAATAATTTGTTTAAGTTATTTTCTGTCATTCCTCCCTAACTTCAAACCCCCTGCACCAAAGGATTTTGCTCGTGCACCAAGACAAAAACAGATGTTTGACTAAATTTAAACCTTGCTCAATGCAGGAAAATTTCTGCCTTCTAAACCCTTGTATCTGTTTCTTATAGAGTTGTAACCTGCTGTACCCATGTGTACCCTTTGTACCCACTGTACCCTGAGCATCGGCTCCATTATTTTTAATTTTAACTTAGAAAATTTCTGCCTTCTAAACCTTTGTATCCATTTCTTATAGTGTTGTAACCTGCTGTACCCATGTGTACCCTTTGTACCCACTGTACCCTGAGCATCCGCTACATTATTTTAAATTTTAACTTAGAAAATTTTAGCCTTCTAAATCCTTGTATCTATTTCTTATATTGTTGTAACCTGCTGTACCCATGTGTACCCTTTGTACCCACTGTACCCTGAGCATCGGCTACATTATTTTAAATTTTAACTTAGAAAATTTCAGCCTTCTAAACCCTTGTATCCATTTCTTACAGTGTTGTAACCTGCTGTACCCATGTGTACCCACTGTACCCTGAGCATCCGCTTCATTATTTTTAATTTTAACTTAGAAAATTTTAGCCTTCTAAATCCTTGTATCTATTTCTTATAGTGTTGTAACCTGCTGTACCCTTGTGTACCCTTTGTACCCACTGTACCCTGAGCATCGGCTCCATTATTTTTAATTTTAACTTAGAAAATTTCAGCCTTCTAAACCCTTGTATCCATTTCTTACAGTGTTGTAACCTGCTGTACCCATGTGTACCCTTTGTACCCACTGTACCCTGAGCATCCGCTCCATTATTTTTTATTTTAACTTAGAAAATTTCAGCCTTCTAAACCCTTGAATCCATTTCTTATAGTGTTGTAACCTGCTGTACCCATGTGTACCCTTTGTACCCACTGTACTCTGAGCATCCGCCTTATTATTTTTAATTTTAACTTAGAAAATTTCTGCCTTCTAAACCCTTGTATCCATTTCTTACAGTGTTGTAACCTGCTGTACCCATGTGTACCCTTTGTACCCACTGTACCCTGAGCATCGGCTACATTATTTTTAATTTTAACTTAGAAAATTTCAGCCTTCTAAACCCTTGTATCCATTTCTTACAGTGTTGTAACCTGCTGTACCCATGTGTACCCTTTGTACCCACTGTACCCTGAGCATCCGCTTCATTATTTTTAATTTTAACTTAGAAAATTTCTGCCTTCTAAACCTTTGTATCCATTTCTTATAGTGTTGTAACCTGCTGTACCCATGTGTACCCTTTGTACCCACTGTACCCTGAGCATCGGCTCCATTATTTTTAATTTTAACTTAGAAAATTTCTGCCTTCTAAACCTTTGTATCCATTTCTTATAGTGTTGTAACCTGCTGTACCCATGTGTACCCTTTGTACCCACTGTACCCTGAGCATCGGCTCCATTATTTTTAATTTTAACTTAGAAAATTTCAGCCTTCTAAACCCTTGTATCCATTTCTTACAGTGTTGTAACCTGCTGTACCCATGTGTACCCTTTGTACCCACTGTACCCTGAGCATCCGCTACATTATTTTTAATTTTAACTTAGAAAATTTCAGCCTTCTAAACCCTTGAATCCATTTCTTACAGTGTTGTAACCTGCTGTACCCATGTGTACCCTTTGTACCCACTGTACTCTGAGCATCCGCCTTATTATTTTTAATTTTAACTTAGAAAATTTCTGCCTTCTAAACCCTTGTATCCATTTCTTACAGTGTTGTAACCTGCTGTAACCATGTGTACCCTTTGTACCCACTGTACCCTGAGCATCGGCTACATTATTTTTAATTTTAACTTAGAAAATTTCAGCCTTCTAAACCCTTGTATCCATTTCTTACAGTGTTGTAACCTGCTGTACCCATGTGTACCCTTTGTACCCACTGTACCCTGAGCATCCGCTTCATTATTTTTAATTTTAACTTAGAAAATTTCTGCCTTCTAAACCTTTGTATCCATTTCTTATAGTGTTGTAACCTGCTGTACCCATGTGTACCCTTTGTACCCACTGTACCCTGAGCATCGGCTCCATTATTTTTAATTTTAACTTAGAAAATTTCTGCCTTCTAAACCTTTGTATCCATTTCTTATAGTGTTGTAACCTGCTGTACCCATGTGTACCCTTTGTACCCACTGTACCCTGAGCATCCGCTTCATTATTTTTAATTTTAACTTAGAAAATTTCTGCCTTCTAAACCCTTGTATCCATTTCTTACAGTGTTGTAACCTGCTGTACCCATGTGTACCCTTTGTACCCACTGTACCCTGAGCATCGGCTCCATTATTTTTAATTTTAACTTAGAAAATTTCAGCCTTTTAAACCCTTGTATCCATTTCTTATAGTGTTGTAACCTGCTGTACCCATGTGTACCCTTTGTACCCACTGTACCCTGAGCATCAGCTCCATTATTTTTAATTTTAACTTAGAAAATTTCAGCCTTCTTAACCCTTGTATCCATTTCTTATAGTGTTGTAACCTGCTGTACCCATGTGTACCCTTTGTACCCACTGTACCCTGAGCATCGGCTACATTATTTTTAATTTTACTTATATAGATGTTACAGTCTTCCTTCCACTGGGAAGCATCTACTTTCGTTTTCAGTAGGAATAAATAGTGTACCCTTTTTGTAACCTGTTCTCCATACATTTAATAAGGGTGTACCCTAGGGTACAAAAGTATCACCTAAAAACGCAGTACCAATTTCTTGCCATATCTAGACAGTTATCTCACAATGGCGGATGGTAATCCAAGACCTCGCACTCGCCAACGTCCACTTCAAAATATGTCAAGTCGATGGGACGCTACAAACGTAAACAATTGGACAACTACACAGTTTCAAGAAGAACTTCTAAAATTAAGTATTCGCGTCCCAGCTAATATTGGAAAGGCGACGCTTAGAAAACTCTATTTGGAAAACGTAAACAGAAACCCCGCGGTGAGAGAACGGCGGGAAAATGACTCGTCCCAAAATAGTCACCATGATGAAGTTCCTAATTCCTCGACAGAAGCACCAATTGTGTCACAGACAGAAGTAACTTCTAATATCGGAACATCGACGCATACCGAGGTTTATGACCAGACCGTCCAACCTGCTCAAACGCATATAAATTCGGGCTCGGAATCCTTGCGTAACAATTCCAACATGGCCGCCAGTGTAAATAATCAAGTAATCAGCAGCATGCTGAATACTATGAACTCAATGCAGCAAACCGTCATGGGTTTACAACAGACAGTGCTCCGACTGATGGCAGATAAGACGGGAAATACAGGGAATAGCAACAATGACACGGGAAATTCACTGGACACGGCGTATGCGGCCATGAGGAGCCAGACTGTCCCAGCAACTCAGAATACAGGTGGGTATAGATTACCACAGACAGAATTTGGTGTCCCCTCTGAAAACCTAACGCATTTAGATATTGTTGGGGATAAACTCAGAAAGAAGATATGGGAGGGGAAAGACGTGAATTTAGCAGAATTGCTAATACCCAAATATGAGACAGAGAAGACGAAGAATATCACAATAAACTTGTTGAAATATGAGGATCCTCGACTCCATAAACAATTGACTATAGCCGAATTTATCACTGCATTCGGACGATACAAGAGAGTCATGTGTCAAAAGTACCCTGAGAGACAAGTTGAACTGGACAGGTACGAGGCAAACATAGTGGATATTCATAACGTTTATGGTCAAAAGTTCTATGATTACCATTGCCAGTTTTCTGCCAGAGCAGCCACAGCCCTAAGAGACCATAATGTTAAGGTGGATTGGTCAGTTAAAGACTTGAACCTTATGATGATGGTGATGGGGAATGCTCAAGCCAATACCTGTAATACATGTTCATCAACTTTACACATGTCTGCTTTCTGTCCAAAAATATCTGAAAGTAGAATTCCAGTGATTACTTCATCTCCGTCACAAAACTCAAAGTCATCATCAATGGACAGATATGGACGACCAAGGACCATAATAGATGGGAAGGAAGTGTGTAATAACTTTAACGAAAACAAATGCAAAAGACAAAATTGCCAGTTTGAACATCTGTGCACAACATGTCATTCTAAGGACCATGGATCCTCATTATGTAAGAATGTTTCCAGAGTCCAAAATAAGGTTGGGAAAAAGTGACTAGACAACAGGACAATGATGACAGATGATCTCCTAACAACGCCTGTTAACATAGAAGTTTTAGCACATGAACTTTTCCATCATCCTGACAAAGACTTTGCGAAATATTTGTGTGATGGTTTTACTTATGGCTTCGATACTATGATTTCTAATGCAGATGCTGATTCAGAAACCTTAGAATGTAGAAATCTTCTGTCAGCTAGAAATCAGCCAGAAATAGTAGATAAATTAGTGAAGACAGAAGTAGAAAAAGGTTTCGTGGTAGGTCCACTAGAGTCACTTCCATTCCCAAAATACAGAGTAAGCCCAATAGGCGTGGCAGTTGGGAAATATTCAGGGAAACCAAGGCTTATCATGGACTTATCATCCCCTCATGATAACGAGCATCATGCCAGTGTCAATTCGATGATAGATAAAGAAAACTGTTCTCTGTCTTATGTTAAGATAGATGACGCTGTACGAATTATCCAGACTCTAGGACGTGGGACCACTATGTGCAAAACAGACATTTCTGATGCCTTTAAACTTGTCCCGGTTCTACCCAAACAGTGGCATATGTTTTGTTTCAAATGGAGATCACAATATTATTACTATACAAAATTATCATTTGGTTGCAGATCAAGTCCAAGGATATTCGACAATCTTTCCCAAGCAGTGTGCTGGATAGCGCATAACAATTATGGAATCAAATATATTCTACATCTATTAGATGATTTCATCACTTTCGAACATCCTGAAAATGACGGTGAAACTAACATGAATTTGTTGTATCATATCTTTCAAACTCTCAATATACCAATGGCACTGCATAAAACCGAAGGACCTACCACATGCTTAGAGTATTTAGGCATCATTTTAGACTCACAGTTAATGGAAGCCAGACTCCCAAACGAGAAACTCCAAAGAATAACAGGATTCCTTCACAAATTTCAGTCACGCAAATCTTGCACGAAGAGAGAACTTCTGCAGCTACTTGGCCATTTGAACTTCGCCAGCCGTGTCATCCTCCCAGGAAGATCGTTTGTTTCCCATCTTATCACCCTATCCACCACTGTTAAACAACTGCATCATTATGTGAAAATAAACGAACAATGTAGGGAAGACATGCAAATGTGGCTGAGTTTCTTAAGCAATTGGAATGGCATTAATCTATTTTATAGTATGTCTCAGATTACATCAGAGGAACTAAACCTTTTTACAGATGCTTCTGCAACGGTAGGATATGGAGGGTTCTTTAAAGGAAACTGGTTCTCCGAGCCTTGGACAGATGAAGTTAAACAATTATGTGATAGTGATACAGAATTATCAATTGCTTTCTTTGAGTTATATCCCATTGTTGTAGCTTCCATTCTCTGGGGTCATATGTGGAAGAAACAAAGAATAGTATTTATGTGTGACAATTCGGCAACGGTAGCAATCTTAAATAAGGGAAGATCAAAATCTGTGCATATTATGCCGTTAATGAGACGATTAACTCTTGTGTCTGCTCAACATAATTTTGTATTCTCTTCAATTCATGTTCCTGGTAAACAAAATACTATAGCAGATGCTTTATCACGTTTACAGATTTCGAAGTTTCGCAGTCTGGTACCCAGTGCCCAGGAGCATGCAACCAAAGTACCACCACCCAAAGATGTTTTGTGGAGCTCGAAGACGTAGTTCAACAATTATGGACAAATGCCGTAGCACCAAGCACAAGATCCACTTATAGGTCTGCGTTCCATATGTACGTTCAATTTTTATTGATGTCATGTGCCATTTCTAGTGCATATACATCGGACATCCCAGTGACTGAAGACTATTTGATATACTTTGTAGCTCACTGTGTTAGTAGGCTTAAGCTAAGCTTTTCAACCATTAAGCTGTATTTGTGTGGTATTAAATTTATATGTCTTGAAAGCAACATTGCTTACCCAGATGTTACCAATCTGTCTCGACTTAAAGCATTGTTAAATGGTGTCAAGCGAATGCAGTTACCATCTTGTAAGCTAAGACATCCTATAACTTTTGACATACTGAAAAAAGTTTGTGTATATTTTCGTAGAACAGAAAGTTTTAGAAATCTTATGTTAGAAACTGTTTGTACTATAGCATTTTTTGGTTTTTTAAGGTGTGGGGAATTTACCATTAAGGATTCTTTTGACCCCACAACAAACTTATGTGTTAGTGACCTCAGTGTTCTAGAAAGTTGTGTCTTGTTAAATCTTAAGATCTCAAAAACTGATCCTTTTAGAAAAGGAATTACAATTAAACTGTTCCCAACGAGCAACATTATATGTCCATTTTCAATATGTTGTAAATATTTAAAAGCACGCTGTTCCTTGCCCTTTTCAGCCAAGCAACCATTATTTGTAAATAGCGATGGAAATGCTTTAACAAGAACTGAATTTATTTCTGAACTTAAGCATGCTCTTAAATGTATTGGATGTAATGCAGATGTATATAATGGACACTCATTCAGGATAGGGGCAGCAACCACTGCAGCTGCTGTCCATATGGAAGACCATTTAATTAAGGTGTTAGGTAGATGGTCTTCTGATGCTTACTGTAGATACATTAGAACACCAGAAGCTGTTTTACGAGAGGCACAAAAGTCGATGACAACCATTTAATACCTTGTCACCTGACACTTATTTCAGTTTTAGGTTTAGTTGACCTTTGTCAGATAATTGCATACAATTTTCGTTTTTTCAGCATTAAGACTTTTCTGTTTTATAAGGATGAACATGTATATCATATCTATTCAGTATTATTAATATTGCATTTTTGGGGGCACTCAGCTTCATTTCGATTGCAACACCATTCACCTGAGTTTTGGCCATCATTTAATAATTTTTGATCATATATAGAAATTATTATATTTTAAACCCCCAAAAAATCAGGTAACTTGTTTTAAATAGCTTATATTCCGGCTCTTGTTACCTAACTATGAAGTGGCTTTCATTTCGGCATGCTGAGAGAATATCTCACTAAATTCATAGAGAGGCTACACCGAGTTTATAAGCATTGACGATAGATCATCTTCCAGACATTCTCTTCCGGCTCTTGTAGCCTGGAACCAGTCCATCTTTCAGTCTACCACACCGAGTTGAGTACTACGTGCTCTTCCGGATCTTGTCGGTCAACCATGACTGGTCTCCTATGCTGCTACACCGAGTTGAGTTTTTTGTCTTGGAAGTTGAACCTCAATCTCAAAGCACACCAGTTTCACCGAGTTGACTGGTACATATATCTGTACCTTTCTTCCGGCTCTTGGGACTGGTTCCGCTGTTTTGGGGATAGGGTTTTTAACTGATTAAAACTATGAGAAGCTGAGTCTGCCCCTATTTATGCCAAAGTATATTTATGTATTTCAATGTTATTTGATGTTTTTTGTATTGGAAATTATTTCTGGAATGTTTAAATGTTAGACTTAGAATAAATATTTTTACCTACTATACTATTTTATCTTTTCAACATAAATTAAGGCTTATGAGAATAAGCTAGGTTTATGTTGAAAAGAATACCGTAACTTTAACATCTACCAGGTTCGGTTCTGATATTTACATTTAATTTGTTCAACGATTCTGATTGGCTGTTATTTATAAACTAGATTCAGTGGCAGAGTGGATTGTAAACAGAAGTCTAACCGCCACCACCCCACCACATCTCCATATTTTCATTTTGAATTCATGTAAAATGCTTATACATGTATATTTTCATTCCCAAATTGGGTAGACTCAGCCTTTGTTTTTGGCCATCATTTAATAATTTTTGATCATATATAGAAATTATTATATTTTAAACCCCCAAAAAATCAGGTAACTTGTTTTAAATAGCTTATATTCCGGCTCTTGTTACCTAACTATGAAGTGGCTTTCATTTCGGCATGCTGAGAGAATATCTCACTAAATTCATAGAGAGGCTACACCGAGTTTATAAGCATTGACGATAGATCATCTCTTCATTTCTTCCGGCTCTTGTAGCCTGGAACCAGTCCATCTTTCAGTCTACCACACCGAGTTGAGTACTACGTGCTCTTCCGGATCTTGTCGGTCAACCATGACTGGTCTCCTATGCTGCTACACCGAGTTGAGTTTTTTGTCTTGGAAGTTGAACCTCAATCTCAAAGCACACCAGTTTCACCGAGTTGACTGGTACATATATCTGTACCTTTCTTCCGGCTCTTGGGACTGGTTCCGCTGTTTTGGGGATAGGGTTTTTAACTGATTAAAACTATGAGAAGCTGAGTCTGCCCCTATTTATGCCAAAGTATATTTATGTATTTCAATGTTATTTGATGTTTTTTGTATTGGAAATTATTTCTGGAATGTTTAAATGTTAGACTTAGAATAAATATTTTTTTTTACCTACTATACTATTTTATCTTTTCAACATAAATTGGGAAATAAAATAACAGGCAGTTATTTTTTTAAATTGAAAAATTTTCAATCTTTTTCAGATGTTGAAAACAGAAGTACATTTTAATTAATATGTTGCTTTAAGAAAAGTTTTATGCATGATATGAATTAAAAAGATTACCCATCTTATTCTGCTTGGTAACCAACAAATTAATCGCAAGATTCATTTATTTTTCTTGTTTGTAAATCAGTCTAGGGATTAGGGAATAACTTATTTTTATTGTTATGTGATAAGTCTAACAACTGTGATATATACATACATGTTCTATTTTTTCATCACTTTGGTTGTTAATTTAACATGACATGACACCAATGTACAGCTGCTGAATTGGTGCTGTTTAAATTGATGTTTAATTTTGAGAAATAATGACAAATGTTTCATTAAATATTATCAGTTATACTACTATTTTATGAAAATACAATAAATTCATAAAATTACACAGCTCAAATTCTCTTTTATTTTGGCCTTCATGTATAGGCATTTGTTGCTTTCTTTTTTTTTTTTTGTTCCCTGTTTAACATTCAGTTTCTAGCTCACCTGAGTTGAAAGCTCAAGTGAGATTTTCTGATCACAATTTGTCTGTAGTCAATCCGTCTGTAAACTTTTCACTTTTTCGACTTCTCCTCCAGAACCACTGGGCCAATTTCAACCAAACTTGCCACAAAGCATTCTTGGGTGAAGGAGATTCAAGTTTCTTCAAATAAAGGGCCATGTCAACGTCCTCTTTCAAGGGGAGGTAGTTAAGAAGTGAAAATTTAGTGGCATGTTTAAAAAATCTTCTTCTCAAAAACCACATGGTCAGGAAAGATGAAACCAATGTAGTAACATCCTCAGGTAATGCAGATTCTAGTTTGTTCAAATCATGAGCCCAGGGGTGAGGGTGGGGCCACAATTGGGGATCAATTTTTACATCGGAATACCTATGAAAAATCTTTAAAAATCACGTTCTCAAGTACAGCAAAGCCTTGAGTGGTCATATTTATATAGAAGCATCCTCAGGTAGTGTAGATTTGAATTTGATAAAATAACTCAAATTTTGTTGAAGTATTTGATTCTCTTTAAAATTCTTGAAGATACAAGATACATGTAACGGACATAATGACATCAAAATCTTATAAGCATGTCCTCTTCTGTAAATGGTTTTCTGGAAAAGTTGAGTGTTACCTGCACTTAACCAAAATCTGATAAATTTGTAGCATTCATGAACTGTATAAAAGAAAAACAAAAATTTTCATGTAATTTGTTAGTTTAATTAATGGTTTAAATGCAAGATAAACAGTTTGTATGACAAATTTTCATGAAATATTTCATTCATGTTAAAGTTGATATCCATTAATTTGCTAATGTCCCAGTCTCTATTTATGATCTCAGTCGGAAGAATTTCTGGATCTTGGATTTCAGAGTTTTCTTTTTTGGCACATTGGACCTCTGTAAAAGAAAAAAAGGTAACTAAGTTATCGATAAAACTCTCATAGGATGATTTAAACTACACATACTTTTTTTAAACTTAAGTCACAAAATAATTTAAATAATGGGAAAGAATTGTAATACATGTATTCAGAATACACATATAAATATTTTCTTTTTGCATACCTCATCTGCAGTGGGCGTGCACTCAATCATTTCACTCTCAGAATTACTACATGTACCGCTACATTCCTGTGCACCTTCATCAACATGCTGAAATGAGGACAAAATAATATTGTAAAAACTTTTTATTTCAAATATATTTTTAAAAAATCCATATAATGAAATCCCACTTATTTTTTCATCAAGAAGAAAAATTAAGTATGTGATTTTCCATTTTCATGAGTTTTAAATTTCCACGTCTTTCAAAAAATCTGTAAGGATTTAATAATAATTTGATTTTCTGAGATTGAAAGTTATAAATGATTAAAGCAAAAGAATTTTAAAGGAAAAAAATACTTTTCAATGTATATATTTAATAGAACAATTTAAAGTCATACACTGCCAATTTCTTACCTTTGAATCCATTTTGAAAGTTTCAATGTTAAAAAGAAACAATTCCCTTGGGATGAAAGTCTCAATTTCACCAGATTCTGGTGTTTCCAGATTGTCCTGATTGCAGGTGTTCTGTAACACAAAGAATCTGACTTAAGTAACATTACACACAATAACACAAATCAAAATTCTTTAAAAAAATATGACATGTGTTATGTGTAAATTAATGCAATGAGATGTGTAAAATAGGATCAATTTAAAAAAAAATATTACTTACATCTTTCTCATTTGATTTCATCACTTCTAATTCTCTTTCATTGTGTTTTTCTGTTCTGGCATCTTCGGCTTTCTAAAACAACAAAAAATAATAACTTAGCATGTGCATTCAGATATTCAAACACTTGCATTAAAACATTTGAAAGAATAAACCTGTTATTAATAAGCATGCAGTCCATATCTCAAAAAAAATTAGAAATAAGGTTGAAAATCTTACATGTAATAACGAATTAAAAATACTGAAATTTTCACTCCTATTAGACTTTTTTCTTCATGTAAATCTCATTACATTTGATAGTTGGAAAGTACATCCAGACTTTAGTTCAAACATTTAACATGAATTTCTACATTTCAAGCTGTGATTAAATACATACGTTCCTCATGGATTCTCTAAGTTCTTCGATTTCTTTTCTTATATTCATCATGCGTATCACTGTCTGTAACAAAAATACATTTATGTTTATGGAAATTCAACTTTTGAAAATTAAAAAAAAACCTAAACTAAAAAAAGGTAACCCCTCCAAGAACTAAAGTCCCCCCCCCCCCCCCAATCAAACAAACACATGAAAGGTGTTTGACCAAAAAAATCTTAGTTAACAGAGGTTACATCTTCTGTGTTCTTCCTCCCTCCCCCACACCCTCTCTTAGTTTGCTTTTAATTTTAATATAATAATGATTTCAATACATTATAAAACAAGAAATTACTGAAATATTAATTAGGCAATAACTTACCAGTAGTTCTAAGTGCAATGACCTCTTTTTCTTTTTCACTAGATCCATTTCTTGTTGAATCATTATTTTATCTGATACCACTCCCTGTAAAAATATGACAACATTTGCATAATAAAAAAGGACATACATGTATTGTATTTCAATGTTATCTAAAAGGCAAGAATTCATCCTTCAAGATATCAAAGAATAAACCATTAATTAGGTAGATTATGCTTGTAAAAAAGAAAATATACCATCATCTCTTGGTGAATTGATGTCCATTTCACTTTCAGTTCTTCTTTTGTCAATGCTTTTTCAACTCTGTTGGACACCTCTTTCTAAAAAAATATTTTTATCATTTGTACATTGTTATAAGTTGACTTATAAATAAGCAGTCCACACTTCAAATAAAGTTTAAAAAAAACAATTTGATTTTGATCTTAATAATAAAATAAAGATAAATTTTAAAAATCTAACTGAGCCTTAATTTTCAAGTTAATTGTTTTTTTTTCTCTTGTAAATCTCATTACATTTGACAGTTGAAAAGAACAACCTGACATTAATTCAAATATTAATATTCAACATGGATTTCTCCATTTTAAGCTGTGAATCAATACATACCTTCAGCCCCATCAACATGTCCCTTGTTAGTTCAACTCTCAGTTGTTGGATTTCTCTTTTTACTGTCATCAAGGACCAGACTATCTGTACCAAAATATTTCATTTTATCAAATTCAACTCTTCTAAAAACATTAACTTCCTACATTACAATAAATATGCATGAAAAAAAATCAACAACTCTTTGTAAATAAAGTCCATATTTCCTGTACCCCCTTCTCTCTCTCTTTCTCTCTCTCTCTCCTTCTTTTTCTAATTTTAATGTTGTTAAATTAATAACTTAACAATTACAAAACATGATATAGACAAAATATAAAATTAGGTGATAACTTACCTTTAGTTCCAAGTCCATTGACCTCTGTCTTCTTTTTTCTAGTTTAAGTTGTTGATCCATTTTCATTTTATCAGATATCACTCCCTGAAAAATATAATTAGTGTTTGCAAAACAATACATATTTCATGTATTTCTGAAATGTTTTCTAAAAGCCAAATATTCAGCCTTTGCATATATTAAAGAATGAACCATTAAATAGATAAATTTGGAAAGTATAGATAATGCTTGTAGAAAATCAATACCATCATCTCTTGGTGTATTTCTGCCCATCTTCTCTTTAGTTTTTCTTTCTTCAACGCTGTCTCTGCTTTGTTGGACACTTCTCTCTAAACAACAAACAGAACACAAGGTAGCTATAAAATATTTTTATCCTTTGTACATTGTAATGGCTTTCTTTTCTTTTTTTTTTTTTGAGGTAAATATTAATTACTTAGCTTTTTATACAACATTAAAATAACAGAGGGAATGCTTAAGAGGAAAAAACAATCTTGAAAAAAAAATTAAATACTAGACATGTTTTTTTTTAAACAACACGTTTTTTTTCAAAACAACAATATATATATATATATATATATAATCAAAATTCAATCTAAAGTTTTGAAGTTGTAGCATCATAATTTCTACTAGTTGTACCTTCAATTCCTGTAGCATTTCTTGCAAGATCTTTGTCTGCGGTCGAATCCTTTCTTTTTCGAAAATTACTGTTAAGGCATTTCTCTAGATTGGAAAAAAGGAAACCGTATTGAAAAGTGTAAGATATTACAATAATAATTTAAAAACGAAATGAGATCAATTAAATTATATATAGTAAACCCTTATCCTGGTATACAAAATTTAATATCATGCTATGATGTTATTATATCTGAAGGTGAACCATCTTTTTCCAGATTTCATTTTAATTAAAAAAACAAAATTTAATCGTATTTTACCTGTCGCAATTCCTCCTCTTCTACCAGGTCACTCCAATTACGCTCAAATTTTAGTATTTCTAGTTTGGATTTCTGAAAAATATTAATACATAGCAATGTTACGTTTACAAATCTGAGTGAGTAAAGGCTCGTGGCAATAGTGGAAAGGGGTTTAACTTTTAAAAGGGGAATTGAAGTGGACCTCCCCCCGCCCCAAAAATAAAAGACGGTAAAAATTATGAGTCTTAACACGTCAATCCTAATGCAGGAATTTGTCAATGTTCCATCTTACAGTACCTAAAAGGGGGATAACATCAAAATACAAATGTACATTCTAGCAAACGACAGCAAAAGTAACTGAGTGGGAAGACCCCCCCCCCCCCCCCCCCCCCGCGTTCTACAGGCCTGCTATTTTGAATACATTTGTTATTGATTGAAAACGAACATGTACAGAATTATAATGCAGGAACACATTAGTACTGATCAGTTTACGGTGATTTTCATTGCCAAAGTCACAATGTCGATCACCTCCAGTCTCCTGGTATTTTTTTTTTTATAACAATACGATTTATTGTACGTGTATTTTAATTTCAAAAGTAAACTACTTACGTAGTCTGAGACTGGATCTTCTCCAAAGTCCAGGATCTCCTCGTAGTTCTGTAAAAAAGATAAATACATTGATTACTTCTTTTGAAATTGTTATAACTAACATTACTGATGTATTTTCAATGTAACATGCTTTAGTGAACAATATCAAGTTATTCTACAATTGCTTGGATGGATTATTAAAAGAACATTTCAAAAAAAGTAACATTGATAGAACGCAAGAATCTGTATATTTTTGGGCATTTATTTTCATTTTTCGGTGTTTTAATTTTCAAATCAAAAGGGGGGTATATCTTTTAGTTGTTCCTTATTGGCCTTACTTGAGGTATAGGTAGCATGTCTTCAGGAATTCCTGTGGACCGACAGGCCAACGCAGTCAAAATTTTCTCGATACGTTCTTCTCTTTTCATATTTTCACCTGAGGTTTCTTCCTGGAGAACAAAGTTATTCTTCTTGTACATAAAATTCACAGCAGAGACTTACTCTGATCTTCACTACTTTTGTGTAAACAAAACTCTATTATGACGTCATAGGTCATCGCTAAAGACCTCCAGCTTGACGTAACAATGTATCTGAATATTTTAGAAATTACTCTGATTTCGTAAGGGAAAAACAGAACACTTAATGTTACTTTTAGTAGATTAAAAGCTTTTCTTAATTATCATGTCACGTATGGTCAGTTGGTTTTAAGCTTACTGTGTATAAAAAGGGAGTTTTTATCTTTGGTGAGCTTTGGCTCAATGTTCTTTGGCTTTACAGTTATCAAATTAGAATAATTCTGATATATTAAGTTATAACTTACAAGATAAATGTTCTTTTCATTCTATATCACATAACATACGTCAAATAATATGTAGTATTCTTAACATATTAGCAAAGAATTTACTTACTGTTTCTTTGCCTGTATCAAAGGTTTTCGCAAACAAACCACTACTGTGACGTCATAATGAAGTAATCGTCAAATGGCCTCTGACCTAAAAACTCAGGGACGAAGCATTTTTTTTAAGTGTAGGGGGGGGGGGGGGCAAAAAAATCAAATATTTTCAGTTTGGGCCACTATCAAATACTAAAATTTCCTAGAGACAAGCCAATAAAAAAAAAAAGGTAAGAAAAGAAAAGGTCAACAAATATCAAAATCGCTCACTCTCAAATCCTGAAGGGACCAGTGAGTTGATCACCGAAGAGTTAACATCAAACAGGTTCAATTATCTATCATACCTTAGAATTGCAAGAATATTAACCAAGCAATACACATTTTCTTCAAAGTGCGTTAACAAGATCGATATTAACGCACTTTGAAAAGAAATTTTATTTTTTCAAAGTGTGTTAATTTTGTCCCAAATTTAATGTACTTTGAAAAAAAATTTCAAAGTGCCACATTTTCCAAAGTGCGTTGTAACAGAGCTAGAGCAAAGGTAACTACAGTTGTTTTCTATAGTACACTATGTATCGGCAATTAAATAAAAATAATAATAATTGATATCCTCCCTTCTGTTCCTATAGGCCATGTGAATCCATTTGATTTTAAGTTAAAGCTGCAGAAAATATAAAGCGCAACATTTGAATAAAGGATGCATTCGTTACATCAAAAGATTTGACCCATAGAAAATAACAATTTTCCGGAAAAAAAATCGCATTTATAAATCAATGTTCCTTAGTTGTTTTCCGTCGTATATTTGACTAATTTTTTTAAATTTGCATTCTGAATATAAAATGTATTATTTGCTACTTTGAAATTAGGAACTAACCTTCAAAGTTGATAAAAAAAAGTTCTTAGCTCACCTGAGGTGAAAGCTCAAGTGAGCTTTTCTGATCACAATTTGTCTGTAATCATATTTCGTCTGTAATCATATTTCGTCTGTCCGTACGTCCGTCTGTAAACTTTTCACATCGACTTCTTCTCCAGAATCACTGGGTCAATTTCAACTTGCCAAAAAGCATTCTTACGTGAAGGGGTTCAATTTTGTTCAAATAAGGGGCCGCGTTCTCTTTCAAGGGGAGATAATTAAGAAATAGTGAAAATTTAGTGGCATGTTTTAAAAATATTCTTCTCAAGAACCACAGAGTTAGGAAAGATCAAAATTTTACATAGGAATATAAAAGAACAATCTTTAAAAATCTTCCTCTCAATAATAACAAAGCCATGTTTTGTTTAGTCATATTTATATGGCAGCATCCTCAAGTAGTGTAGATTCAAATTTGTGTAAATCATAACCCCTGGAGGTAGGGTGGGCCCCAATGGGGGATCAAAATTTCACATAGAAATTTATAGGTAAAATGTTTAAAAAATCTTGTTCTCAAGAACAACGAAGCCATGATTGGTCATATTTACATGGAAGCATTGTCAGGTATTGTAGATTTGAATTTGTTCAAGTCACAACCTCCAAGGGTTAGGATAGGGCCCCAATCGGGGATCAAAGTCTCACATAGGAATATATATATATATATACATAGGAAAAATCTTCCTCTCAATAACAAGAAAGCCATAATTAATTATATTTATATGGAAGCATCCTCAGGTAGTTTACACTCATGTTTGTTTCAAATCATGACCCCGGGTAGGGTATATGGCTAAAATTAAAGTTCAAGCTTAAAGGGAAAAAAAGTCATAATAAGTCAAAGAAATATGTAAGCATTCTTAATTCCTGTAGATTCAAGTTAATTCAAGCTCACTCCCCTCCTTTTAGGATAGGTTGGGGTCACTTATGTATTTAAGCTTTTCAATACTGGATGGATTTTTGCTTTTTTCAGTCACAGTGCTCGGGTAAGCGATATGGCCCATGGGCCTCTTGTTCCAAAACTCAATTGATCAAATTCAGCCTATACTAAACACGCAGATGTAGCTGTCCACATTTGTGCAGAGTAGGGCAAGTTCTCTTCTAAGGGGAGATAATTAAGAAATAATGGAAATATGTTGCACTCTGGGGAAAAAAGTTTAGAACAAATTTTGAACAAAAGGTTAAAAAAAAAAGCCTTGAATAGAATCTTCATTTAACAGCACTTAATCAAGTGTATACAAATCATAATCCCCAAAATCTTGGGTGGGGAAATGACTTTTAGATGTTTTACATTAAACTACATTTAATGACCCCTTTTTCCATTGAAGCAACCCAGAAAACTGTTTTAATATCAAATTACTTTGCATCTGTCCTCATCATTGATTTTTGTTTACGACTGGAGTCCAGGGGTTATATGTACATTTATCAGAAAGCTAATCATACCCATATATTAGGATAAGCATTGCACACTATTTCTAATTTCCAGTTATTGACAAGAAAATTGTATGATTACTTTTTTATCAGTGTTTGTACTACTGGTATATTTATCATGTGAACTGGACAGACATCCTGATATTTATACCTACATGTATATGGTAGCAGATGCATAATCATACTGGGAAGTAATTTGCATACTTAACGAGGCCCGATCTAGTTAAAAATTACGAAAACGGAATGATAAAAATTTTTAATTCTTGGAAATATACTTGTATGTTTTATGCTTAGAAAAATTAGGATGAAATTTTGTTACCTTGCCTTTATTGTAGTGAAATGGGGGCACTGTCAAGATATGGACCATTTTTCGTGTTTTTATACACAATTACATACTAAAACTCTTCAAAAAACAAAGAAATTTACAAATAAAAAAAAATACATGATAAAATTCTTTGTTTTTCACATATATCATGCAATTTTCATTCCTCTTATAAAAAATGAAAAGAAAATTGGCGGTAGCCTTTATTGCAATGAAAAGGGGGCATGTCAAAACACAAAATTTAGATTTATTCTATCCAACTACGTATTTTATAGGTCGCAATGGGTTATGTAACAAACGATTGTAATACTGTATTTCTAAAAAAATAAATAATTCTTACATTATGAAATTATTTTCTCGCCATGCTTTATTTTTCTCTTAACACGCGACGTTGTTTTACGTGGAAAATAGGGGTAGAAGGGTGTGTGTGTGTTTGTGTGTGTGTGTGTGTACTGTATATTTATTGCGCACAAAAAAGTGCGCTCGATTCTTGATTAATTTTTTCCAAATTCTTACCTCAATTGGGGGGGGGGGGGGTAAAGGTGACAAAATTGCGATTTTAACAAATAACATGTAATATATAGAAAAATTAAATATTTCGGGGGTTCAATTTAAATGATTTATAGACTTATTTTATTTTTTAAAACTGAATATAATCAATGCATATTTAAGTCTGCAATAAAAAGAGTGAGTATAAACACTTCAACATGTTCAAAGAGAAAGACTAAAATCGTTTACTTTTAGTTGCAGCGTTTGTTTTTTTAAACTCACAAATTGAAATAAAACAGGATTAAATTAATAAATCTGTACCAAAAAAATGATCCCTCAAAATTATTTAGGTCCCAAAGTTGTTAATTAATCTAAATATTTAAAAAAAAATAGAAATGCCAGCTTTCAATGCATATTCTATAGAGCTACCAGGTAAGCAAGATCAGCGAAACAGTTTAGCGCAATTTGACGTCATTTTAATTGTGACGTTATTATGTTCAATTGTGACGGCAGTCAAGGGTATTGTGACGTGCCTGAGTCGACTCTGCGTTAAAACGTATGCGCAGATCAAGTAGATCGGGCCTCGTTAAGCCAGCATTAAATGTATGTTACATGATGTATTTAACTTTTAAGATGCATCTATTGAAGACATTTGACTATTCTTAGTAAACATTTATAGGCCAAACATATTGAAAACATCACAATAGATCTAAATTTAAAAAAAAAAACACACAACTTCAAAAAAAAAATTTATAGTGAAAGCATTTCAACAATATTTTATTACATTCAATCATTTTCAAAAATCACAAAACTTTAAATGTACATGCACATTACACAATTCTTCTCATGTCCTTAATAATTTTGCTTGTCTTTTCGCTTCCAGAGCTTCTTCTTGTTCTTGAACAATTTGTTGTCTTTCTTCGAGAAATTTCCCATAGTCCTCTGGTTTTAATTCTCTCACAACTTCTATTCCAATATCATGACACTGTCCAATTAATGTTTTACAAATAGCCTGTAAGGAAGTCCCACGGAATCTACTGTCTGTAGTTTCTTTTATTTTTGCAATTTCATATATATGTTTCAGTGACAATTTTCCTGCAACTTCTTGACCTGAAGAAGAAATGAATTTTTGAGTATCTAATAAAAATGAAAGTTACTTCCATAACACACATTGCATTTCAATGTGTTTTCTATTTAGCAACTTTCTCAGAAAGCAACTTCTGCTAAATCCAGTACATTGTTATTAAATGTCTTGTGTATATAAAACTTAATTGGAAAGCACTAAACCAAATCCACTCATACTTAAAAAAAATCAATTTCCACTAACTTTTGTACAGGCCATGTGCTTAAATTTACAATAAAAAGAAAAAATAATTACAAATACATCGAATATCTATCCTATTCAAAATATTCTAAAGCACTGGTCTATTACTTGGAGGAGGGGGAGTAAATATGATAAACATACAAAATAATTTTCATCATTATTATTGTGGTGATGATAAAATGAGAGAAACTGGTGTTACCTGTTTTCATGGCTCCCTTTTTCATCCCTGCTGCCTGTTTCAGGAAATAAGAGGTAGGTGGGCTTACAAGACTTATACTGTAAGTTCTGTCTACCTGTATTCAAAGGATAAAATATCATTAGTGTCCTTCTAAAAATACCCTAAAATCTTGAAAATAAGACGGATTTAATAATAAGCCAGTTTTGAAAATAAGCCACCTATTTCTTGCATTAAAAATTACTCGAAAATAAGCCAGGTTTGAAAATAAGCCGGTCATGACAATGCCATTTAGGAAAGATGTTAAACGTTTGACGATTGCCTCGTCTTAAAAATTTGACGATTGAAAACTTCGACGATTTTTTTTACTGTGCAAAATAAAACTGAGTTATCTTTCTTTAATTCATTTAACCTTGACCAATTTCTGCATAAGACATGGTATGAACTAAGTCTGTAGAAACAAATGAACTTATGTAAAATTACTAATAAAGGGTAGTTTTTTAAGTTATTATTTTTTTTACCAGTAAGCATGTTATGCTGGCTAAAAAAAATTCATTGAGGAACCAGCTAACATGGTAAATTTTTTTCATGAAATTGACAGAAACAATGATTATCTCATCCAGACCTGTACAAGCTAACAGTGTTTAAAATTGTTATAATGAAATAAGTAAATGGATAAAAGGAAGATTTTGTTTGTAAAGCATTTAACTGTCAGGTAACACTGCCCGAGGCAAGAAACCTGCTGATCGGCAGGGCTTGGTAGTAATTACATTTCAATGTACCGTATAATTGAGTTGTTTAAATATGTGTTTGTTTGACTAATTTATCAAGTGATTCAATTACAAGCGAATATCTTATATTTTATTTTTACTTTTTTAAAACAAGTTTATATTTCATGTAAATTTATAAGCTGTAAACAATGAAATTATTTTTTTGGGATCGACATTCTCAAAATATAAAGTAGACGATTACACCATAGACCTAAAGAAAACGTACACCGGGGAATACCAATGAATAAAAAAATGACGAGAGAAAACTTTGACAAGCTAAAGTCATTCATTAATGTTTCCTCATTGTCAAACTTTCCACTTTTAAAGTATTTTTTTTTACACGCAAGATACTGAACAAAGTATTATTGTAATTATTTTATTATATTCATGATGTTTTAATTTTACATCGAACAAGTAGTTCCTATTCTATCGATTACACTTTATTCAATGATTGTATTGAAAATAAACCGGAATTGTGCTCTCTTCTCTTACCAGTTTTTTGCATTGATAATAAGTCGGAATTTGAAAATAAGCCAGTTTTGAAAATAAGCCCCAATTTTCTTACCAAAATTTAAAATAAGCCGCGGCTTATTTTCAAGATTTTAGGGTATTACAATATTTAAAAGTTTCTAATGACATGAATGAGGGTCTCAAACATCCAACTGAATTGCTTTTCATCAGAAAGAGTTTAGACTAAGAGAAAATGGACATATAAATCAAGATATTTCTATTTAAAATGTCCAATAGATTATAGCTCATGAATATTGTACACTTTTTAGAAATAATAATGGAACGAAAATCTTACATTGATTTTAACTTCTGCTATCATGGGCACCTTTGGTTTGTATTCTGCAGTCAATGCGTTGAAATCTTTACAAAATGATGCAATTTGAACACCTCTCTACAAAAAAATTTAATCAAAGACTTACTGAAAAAGAATTGAATTGAAAGTTCATATACAAGTAATACAATGTCATAGGTCAAAAGCTATAATATAGCTGAAATTAATCTGTGATTCACCTGGAAGAGAGGACAGTACAAAATTTTTGTCTTGATATCTGTTGAATTTTCTCAACCAAGGTGCTACAGTTCTGAATTTACTTAGGATAGGAGCTGAACAAGTTTGAGGATATATACAGAAGAATGCTTGAATGTATTCGTATCCTTCCAAGTCTGGATTATCTTTGCTAGTAAAAAGGTTAAAGATCAGTACCCCTCTACCAGTCTAGACGAACTCCAAAAACGGCGTGAACTCCAAAAAAGAAGTCTTTGGCTCCGTCATGCATTGCGGCAAAATGGCGTCCGATGTAAACAAACGATGGATTGTCGTTTGCTTTCTCCACAAATACGACTGAATAATGGCTGTATTTAGGAAACTGTGACTGGATTTCAATTTTTGTTGAATAAATAATTGTATCCATTAAATTATTTAGTGGTTATTGACTTATTTATCACTCTGTACTCTTGCAAAATAGTGATTTGGGATATACGTACGACACCGGGATTCAATAAAGTCGGTAAGAATAAATTTTCTAACTTGTCCCCTTGATTTAAATTTTATGCCATAATTCCTACTGTAAAGATGCTTAAATTTTACTTCTAAGACTCTTATATATATCGTTTTTTTTTTATGAAAAACCGCACAATTTTGGCGGCGGAGCAGAGATATTAACAGGTTTGATTTGAGACGACTTTTTTACCGTAATTTTAAAAGAATGAATTTTTTTAAGTTCTTAAACTCATAGATTATAATTCTAAAAATGTTTTCATGATTATATCTATTCATATGTGAAAACATTAGGTATATATATAGCGATGGTGATAACAAACGCTCTCAATATTCAGATGTCATACAGGATTATATGACGAAATAATATTACAAATAGGTAAAAATTCGGTCAATGTTTAACAGTTACAACATATATATTACATGTTCAATTTTACATATTTTTCCCTTTTATTATACATATATATTTAATTCCCAAACGTTTATTTTTCTTTGTATTTGATCTAACTTGAAACGTGAACTTTCTTCAAAAAAGCCTCGGAGGAAATGTGGCAACTGATTGGATTCTCATGTAACTGTCACCTGATCGACTCTTATTTATGATTAAAACCATCAATTCAGTACTTTTTTAATTATTGGTAAGATGTATTTACAATGCAGTTGCTCATTGCTGATCTAAACATCCTGAAATTCATTCGTACACGATAGACATGAAAGACAGAGGAAATTCAAACTGAAAATTCGCTAGCGTTCCTTACTTACAAAAAAAACTTCTAAAATCAGTAAAAGTAGTTCTAAAATGACTAACTTAGTCACTACAAACAAATTATCAACCACAGAGATGTTTTCATAAGATTACGACTTTTTAATTTGTATTTTGTATCCTACTTGTACGATGTCTGGCTGAACCTCGAAGTTGGTCAACTTTGACTTGAAATTAAAAACTATTTGCACATGAAATCAAAATTCTAACAAATACGTTCTCTAAAACCATTTATTATTAATCATTTCTGAGTACTTACATTATTGTAAGGTAATCCAATTTTTTGCAAAGACACTTTTTATAAGAGCCCACTTTTCACGAATTTTCACCGTTTTTTATATAACTGCGCATGCGTTGGATTCGTTTTTTGGAGTCTTTTCTGGACTGAAATTCTCACTTCCGTTAACGCCGTTTTTGGAGTTCGTCTAGACTGTCTACTTGGAGAGTAAGAGGGAGCAGATTGTAAACCCTTGGCAAAGTGAACAGGGGTCTATATTTTTAAACTTGTACATCAGTTTTATTAAGTGTGAAGGGAATTTAAGTTACGTTTCTTAAGTCAATGTATTTTACTTTGTATGAGCTACTGGGTATTTATTATTATTTGTGTATTGAACATGTGACAAGGTTAAACGACGTTTTGCAAAGCTCTGGTCACCTATACCTGTGCTAGCTGGGGACCCAGTGGTGGAGCCGCAACAGCTGATGCTGCTGGTATGATAACCTTAAGAAACGGGGCATATTCCTGTTTCTTAGCGCCAGCTTTCTTTACATTTTTGCCCAGTTTTCCAGCAACCTTGCCTTTCGACGCCATATTTTTCAAATGTCGAACCCGACTTTATGAAATGACAGTTCGGACACTCACATTTTTAGGTGTTATTATAAATGAATCTGTAGCATATAGCAATGCTTGACAAAAGATATATAAAGAACAAATAAAAGTAGAACATATCAATATAAATACATGTATATGTAATCCTTTTAACTCAAAATCGGGTTCGAGATGTTAGAAATATTAATTGAACAACATGGAGTCGCTTCCCGATAACATCGAAGAATATAAAAAGTTTAAAGTTGTAGAATTGAAGGAAATATTATCAGGAGTTGGACTTCCAGTTAACGGTTTGTAGCTATTTGCATAAGTTGTATGATAAACCAAGAACCAATATTTAAGCGTCACGACTTGATGCATGGAGGTATTCTCCTCACACCGGTTATAAAATATCGTTGGAGGGACGTTTTATTATTTGTGTATTTCTCTCTAATTTTTTTCTTCATTTTATTACATATTTTTTTATCTATTGATTTATATTATGCACTATTTTAACATTTTTGCGTGTATGATAAATGTTAAATTAGTCAACTTTTATCTAACTGACTACAGTGTATACTTTGGTCTTTGTTTTATAAATAATATGTTTTATGTGTGACCGTTGGGGCGAGCGCAGTTTATTCATTATAAACCTACACATGTAATTCTCATTGCAGGAGCAAAAAGAATAAAACAAAACAATAAAAAGAAATAATTTCAATTTTTTAATTTAACTTATATTAAATGATATTTAAAAAGTTCTGTTAACTAGGATGGCCCAACTTTTTAGATTGCAAAATTATTTTCAGTAAGTTGTTGCTGTGTTTTAGCCACCATTTGCTATGTCTATTTTTAAAACAGGCAGTCTTATTTATCTTGTAATTTGGAGAAGGCCGGTGTTGTATCGCAGCATAAGGTAAGGCAAAATCACGGAAATTTGTAGAAACAATGTTCCTTCAATTTTTTTTATTTTTGATTTTTGGAAAGTAATTGGGTAGTGAAAAAATAAACAATGTTACAAAGTAGAGAATTTTAAAGGATGAACTTTATTATAATTTTTACTTGGTTATAAATTAAATGGTCTAAATATGATAAAAAAGGGAGTGGAAATCTGTAAAATTACATTTTATTTGAATATTTTTTTTTTTTCAAACAGATGTTCTATACTTCTTAATCATGAAAAAAGTAACCATTCAGACAACATACAGATTGTCCATCATACAATGTAGAATATAGGCTATGTATCCGAAACAATTTTTAAAAGGATATACTACCAAATTAATCAAAACAAACCCGCGATATAATGTCTTTTATCCCCGAGTATATATATACACACTAAATGTAAAACACTTTGTTTTCATATCAAGGAATACATATTTAGTGTGTTTTATGGTGTGACAGTTGAGGCAAGTGCAGTTGTACCATCTAAAATACACTTGTAACGTTGATCAGCCACTTCAAATGTCAAGTCGCATGGAGCTCGTTAGAGTTTACGGAGACAGCCGAGCGTCTAGTCGAAACTATAGGCCTAGTGCAATGTTTAACGAAAGGCATTTTAGAATATTTTTTTCTTATGTCTTCGAAGCTTTCTATTAATTGAAATTTATTTGCCATTATCGCAGAAGATTCCTGGTAGCAAAGTAATTCTGGGAAGGTTTCACAAGAAAATTTGCTTGATGTATCTATCGTTTCCTCTGTTCTTACACGTTGGTCTATTGAGCTTGCTTCGCAAGCAGCCCTTCTTGCTGCTCGTTGCACTTGCTATAAACCAAGACCCAAGTACCTGCGAAATTCTCTTTGTCAAGGCATTGTCATTAGAGCTCTAAGTGCTAGTTGCGCTTTGTGCTACTTGCTGCACAGGTTATTTTACATAATAGCAAGCGCAGCTTTGTGATGCTCGCAAAGTGAGCTCAATAGACTAACGTGTAAGAACAGAGGAAATTCTGAATGAATTCTGTACGTACGTCAGGCAAATTTTCCCATGCAACATACCCAGAATTCCTTCGCTACCTTAGTTCTGTGCAAAAATATTTTTAAGTTGTACGTAAGACCAAGAACAAATTGTTCTTTACCAAAATATGTTTAGTAATACTTTTCTTCATTTGCACAAAGGAAATAAGTACCAAAAATATTTCCATCTACTCTACGTTTTTCATTAAATATTGCACTAGACCTGCAGTCTCATTCAACCAGACGCCTGGCTCTCTCCATAAATTCCGACGTCATGTAACATCACAGTCTAGACTGTGTTTTGTGCAGTTTGACATTTGAAGAGGTGGATCAATGATTCAAATGTAAGCTTTGTATAGGACTGAGCTTTCCAAACAGTCACACTGTAAAACATATTATTGAAAAAGACCTCTTCAACAATTTTAGCATCAATGCATAAATCTGTCTAATGAAAACTAGTACTTAGCCATAATATAATCCACATATTTTCTGTCTCAGATCTAACTATGACAGATTAAATAAAAAAAAATTAATTTCAATATTCATGCATTATGTTAAAGTTGTGGCAAATACAAGTCTTTTACGTAAATCCATTTGTATTTGAGTCTAATCAGACAAGGTTTAGACCATTACTGGGTCATGTATTTATGTTATAATCAGAATGCTGAACTTGTTTTTTTATTTATTGAATGTTCTCTCATTGATTCTTGACATTTTTTTTTTCTTTTTCATTAAGGATTGAAGGCTGATTTGATCGAAAGACTTTACAATTATAAAGTTGAGGTAATGTTTGTGTTAAATATTTATGAAATATTAACTATTGAACATAAAAATTTGTATTAGCTGTTGAACACACAGGAAATGTTTTTGAAGATACATTTCTTTCTCATCTTACAGACTTCCCAAAATATTAAGAAAGAGGGAGAAAGAACAGGTGAGAGATCAAACTAGAGTAGAATAAACCTTATTCCAGGGTAGTCTTTGTTTCAGACTCTTCTTTCATCATGTTGATCCAACTCTTTCATTGCATGAATACAATTGTACTCAAACATAATACATGTATAAGAAGTTTTTTTTCTAGGCTTATCTTTAGCAGGACATCTTAAAGTATATAGTATCTGTATTTTTTTTCATTGTGGTGAAATCTTCTCCCCCTCCCCCCTTTGTTTCATTTCTATTTAATCTAATAATATGCTGGTTGCTTAAAATTGAAGGGGGTACCCAGAACTTTTGATATAAAATATATTGCTAGTAATACATGTGCTTGTTTTATTGCATTTCAGATGGCAACTATGAGGTAAGTTTTACCTATACATTTTTTCTTATTGCTTATTTGAAGTTTTCTAATTCAATTTAGTATATCTATTGACAAAATAAAGAGCACTGTAGAGAAACTACTACATGTATACACATGAGGGAGAATTTTAGAATAATTCAATTCTGACTAATATTATAACAAAGGGTTTTTTTTAATTTGATAATTGAATGAAAAGGAAAGATTTTCAGTAAGTACTAAGTACTTGTAGAAGAAAAACATGCTCCTAAATTTTATTGTGCTTTTAAGTGTATTGCAGCAATAATTTTTACAGGATGTTGAAGAGCCTCCACCAGGGCAGCCCACCCCTCCCCAGCCAGCTGGTCAAACAGCCCCTCCCCCACCAGCAGGTCCACCCCAGATGATACCGGGACCCCCGATGGGAGGGCCTCCCCCTCGACAGCCATTCCAAGGAGCACCCCCTCCAGGTCCTCCAAAGCCTGCAGATGTGAGTCTTTTATCTCCCTTGAATGTTTAACTTTCCTCTATTTACATATGTCAAACTTTGAATCATTGCTAAGGATTTACTAATTATCTAAATTCTATTGACATGCAAAGAAAACTTCAGCAAAATGCAGCATATCTTGCTGTGCAAATTTCGACAAAAGTTTTTTCTCTAAAGAAATGTTATTATGCCAGGAAGAGTTATCTCCCTTATCAAAGGGTCAGCGAACTTTAAATTCATTCATCCTGGAGATCATTTATATCAAATAGTTTAAATTAACAAAATCTTAGAGATTTGATGCAAGAATATTGTATCGAAAATGCAAAAGACTTATGCCAGTATAATGCACTTCCTTGGTTGTAGAATCTAGATTCAGACTCGGAGTTCCAGAGGAAGGTTGCCATACAGACACAACTAATTAATGAGGAGGAGCAGAAACAGAAGGAGGCAGCAGCCCTGGCCCAGCAGGCCATCCTGATGAGTCAGCGAGGGGGGCCTTCTTCTGGCCCCGTCCCTCCCAGCGGTGACCTGATGGAGAAGGTCAGACAACAGCAGGTCATGATTGAGATAGAGAAACAACAGACAGTAAGTCCCCCTGATTTGTCAACAGTGCTAAATGTTATTACTGTTTTCAGGTTTATTATTTCCCATTGCTTTTTTTCAACCAATCACACATGCAAAAATTTATCCATGATTTATTTTTACCCAGTTGTGTTGAAGAGAAAACTTCATTTCTTGGAACTTTCAAGTGAATTCTCTGAAGTCCCTGATTTTAAATTTGCCCACTTGCAAAGAAAGTCATAAGGAGGAAAAATTTCCTTGCATACAGTTATCTAACTCCATTTCTTATTTGCAAGACATACTGTATTGTTATGCATTAATAATGTGATGTGATGTTTATCTGTTGTGTAGATGAGGCAGATGCAAGAACAGGCAATAAATCAAGCAGAACAAGATCGCCGTATGAAGGAGGCAGAACTTCTGCGTCAGCAACAGATTGCCCTGATGGAAGCCCAGAGAGAGGCTCAGGAAAAACGCATCCAGGAGCAACAGCAACAACAGCAACAGCAGCCACCAGGTATAATGGGAAAAATTCACACTTAGATTGTATTGAAAATTTGGAGTTACTGTATAGGGGGAAAATAACTCGCGGTGTTAATATTCGCTATATTCATGGTGTTAATAAATCCGTGAATTCAAGAAACAGTGAATAAATTTTTAATAATCTCCAGGTTTTATTTGGAAATTTGAGAATAGACAACGATAGGGCTACATACATGTACGCGAAGTACATGGTCATTTCGGCCGGTAATTACAAGTAGTACTCATCATTTAATTAATTTAATTATCACGCTTAACTTAAATTCAAATCAGCAGATAATAACCCGTATTTGTTAAAAAAGCTGTTTTAATAGCCAACGCTACATGTTTCATCAATCAAAACACGTGGGTCATGGGTTTTGATTATCAGTGCGTAACTAATGTTACTACGTGTATTTGTTGCTGCATCATCATGCATGCATATGAGTTTTTATCGACATTTTGGTTTTAAAAAATCATTCAAATAACTAGAGAACTTACTGAAGATGTGGAAGGATATTTTGTCGACCTTTTCCAACATTAACACATTTATTACCGTCCAGTGCTTTTTCGTTGCGTTGTATCGAAGATCTAAGGGTGTACACGCACTCATTCTAACAGCATATAGGAAAGACATTTGATGTTTATAGTCAAGGACTTTTGATAACTGCACTTGTTTTAATTAACTGTCAATTTTTTTTATATATCAAATCTAATTATTTTATTTCAACCTACTCCGTTGTTCGTGAAATAAAGTCATAACACTGATTATTAATATCGTTTACATGTAGCTATGGTATGGATAAACAGATATTGACAAGGGAGGTAACTTTTATTATGTACCAATTCCGCGAATTCAAGAAACCGCGATCGTGTCAGATGAGAGAAAAACGTGGAAATTACAACCCGTGAAATTAATCCCCTATACAGTACTTCTATTTTTTGCTACCACAAGTTGGATGAACAGAGGGAAAGAAATGAAATCACAATTCCAATTTTTAAAGTAAAAATAAATTTTAATACTGGCTTGATTTTTTAAAAATAAAAGTACATGTATATTGAATTATCATTTCAGTTCCTCCCATGCATGTTGCTCCCCCACAGCCACCCATGCAGCCAGCAGTGGTTCCCCCTCCCCCAGGAATGATGGCACCTGCCCAGCCAGTGCCCCCTCAGCAGGGAGCTGTTCCTATGAACATCCAGGGACAGGGTGGTATGCCCCAGCCCCCAGCCAGCATGCCACCACAAGTTCCAATGCAGCCAGCACCAGGAATGCCCCCACAAGGTGGAATGCCCCCACAAAGTGGAATGCCCCCACAAAGCGGAATGCCCCCACAAAGTGGAATGCCCCCACAAGGTGGAATGCCACCACAGGTCCCCATGACAGCACCATTGGTACCACCTGGTACTATAGCACCACCACAAAGGCCTCCTGTGGCTCCAATGCCAATGATGCCAGCTGGGGCTCAGCAAGGTGGAATTTTTAATTCATTCAAATTGAACTTTGTTTTTAAAAAAATGATAATAATTATGAACAACGTTGACAATATGACGTTATGCTAAATGTATATGGACAGATTGCTGAAATTTTTACAAGATAAATAGAAAAGCATTTATAGATAGGTTATAGATGACTGTATTTTAATCATTTATTTTAGGCATTCTTCCTCCTGGGACCCAGACAGTGCCCCCGGGGACACAAATTCCTGTCTCTCACCCTCCCATGCACCAGGGACCCCCTCCACCTGGCACTCAGCCAGTGTCTTCTCAACCAAAACCCCCAGAGCGACCCCCAGCTTCTGCCCCTTCAGAGGAGAAACTACCTCCTCCTCAGGTAAACTTGAAAAGCATTTAAGATTAATAAAATTTTTAGGAATTGCCAGTTAAAATAGTCTTTGATGCATATAGATAATGTTTCAATTGCTCTGCATTAATAAATACATGTACATGTACCTTCATGAGAGATTTTTGTTCTTTTAAGCTGGAATCCGGATCCTCCAAAGAAATCAAATTGCCACAAGCCTTGGAGAAAGTGTTAGCTTTTAAAGATGTCAGGGCACAGGAAGTGGGTGTTACCCACGAGGAAATCGAACAGATGAACACACCCATGGGTATGCAAAAAATATGATTTTGTTTCTCGTTTATCCGGAATTTCTTACAAAAACCACTTTCTTTAAAAAAAAGAAAAAGCCACAGAAATTGTATACTCTAATCTTCAGTGTTCAAAAATTTGTTAATGATGGAGTAAGAGAGCCTTAAGTACACAATTATATGTCTTCTTTGCTAACACAGAACGTGATGCAGATGATGAAGATGCTAGTGAGGATGTGGGGTATGGAACATATGACATGGATGAAGAGGATGAAGAAGCCACCAAAACGGGTGGTGCTAAAGAGGTACCACAATACGATTATGACATAACAATACTGATTACTGTAAATCACTTTTTATTTACGATGATTTTATTTTCGTATATTTATGTGAGACAGCATGCGTGCAAAAATTCCATTCTCACATATAGTAGTATTCACAAATGTCAAATCATGAATATTCTGTCTCGCTTATTAAGAGTCAATGACTATCCTACGAAAATAAGATGTTACAAAAATTTAGTGATGTACAATATACTCTAGGGGTTCACATAGCTGTAAAGATAAAATGTGTTTCTCTCACCGGGTGAGAAATAATCTAAAACATTTCCCAATATTTTACAGTCCAAGAACAAGAAAAAGAAGAAGAAGAAAAAGAAAGCCAAGAAGAACCGCCTAATGCAGCAGCAACAACAAGAACAGGTGGAGAGGCCCGACGAGGATGTACATGTGGAGTGAGTATGCTTGATCTTCTACTATCAGAATATCAGTGGCATGTTTTATTCCTGCAAAAAGCAGACAACAAGAAAGACAGAGTTTTAAGGACGTTCGATCCTGAGATTTTGAGCGTATTTTGGTCAGGTCCTGTATTTATAAAATTCTGCATCATTTTTAAATTCTAACATTAAATTTGAATTCTACAGTGCAAATTTAACTATATTCAATGAAAAAACCGTATGTAAATTCCGTTCAGAAAGATCATAAGAAATAAATCCATTTTAATTCACCTCTTTATTCTATGATAGATCTCAGAGGAAAAGAAATTTGATAAATTGACAAAAAAGATGGAAGAAGGTTTTGGAGGAAGACGATAAATGAGGATCAGTTTTTCTTTAAAATCTATCAACAGTACATGTTGTGAAATTGGGAAGATGTATTCTATTTTTCAAATCTCAGAAAGTTGCACACAAAACAGTTATTTTTATGGGGTCAGCTTTTTTGCAGTGAAAAATGTGTCATGGGGATGATTTGTTGATGTTCAGTTGTTATAATGTTTCTATTTAAATTTTACATTTCTTAGGAAAAAGAAATTCCTACACAAACGTGTGACAAGTATTCATTAGAATAGGAGAATATATTTATGAAAAGGAAGATGAAAATTTTTTGTTTTAATAAACTAGGTCAAGAAGGAGAGGAAGAACCTCAAAGATTCCAAAAAGAAACTGAAGAAGATGCACTTTTTTCAGCTGAAACAGCTGGTAAGTCGGCCTTTTGTGGTGGAGATGCATATACCGCCCACACCTGAAGGCCACGAGGAACACTGTCCCCGTGCCTCGACACTTGCTTCAAAAAATATTCCAGGGAAAATTTGAAACCACCATTTGAATTTGATTAATTAAGGCAACTGGCAAAGTGAGAGAGGCTCTTTGAAAATAATTTTAATGCTTATTAAATTTTCAATGCCAGAAAAATCACTTTTTTTTTTGCAGAAGTTTTCAAATAATTTTATGTATGCGAAGCAATTGGAAAACTTGTTTCTCAGTCACAATTTTTAAGTGTCTTTTTATAAACAAATGTTTTTAGCAGTTTCATTTTTTTCAGTTGCTTACTATAAGCCCTATGTTGACCACTTGAAGGATGAAAGGATGCATACTACCAAAAATGCTTCTAATTTTTAATTAAGACACAAATTTCAGTGCAAAAAGGTCATGTTAAATTATGTATACATCAAAAGACCAGTGCTTCGGATGCTGAATCTGACCTACATTTTTTTGATTTGAATTTTAATTAAGCTATGTATGCATAAAAAGGATAAAAATACACTTGGCAAAAAAAGTTGAATGACAGGTTAAATATCAGGTTTCATTGAAGTCTTTAAGCCCTATGATGAGAAACTTGCATGCATGATACCTTTTGAACAGCTTTCATTCATTGTCCTTTTTTTAACAGTTAATTTTTGTTCCAGAACAGCTTGTTGACCAAACTTGCATCCAACTGATCCAAATGCACTTCACTTTTGCAAAAATTTTTGAAGCCTTCAAGGTGAGTTGTGTAACTATAAGTCCTATGTTGACCAAATTGCATGTAACATGTAACACCACAAGAATTAAGAAAGATCATTTGAAATGAAAATTAGTTTTTAATTCACATCTTTATCCTATGATAGATCTCAGAGGAAAAGAAGGATGATAAATGCTGACTGAAAAAGATGAAATGACCAGTAAAAGGATGCAGGTCTATTACGCTCAAGAAGATGTATAAACCGAACTTGCACAAATGTTGCATCAAGAGATGAGGATAGCTGAGGTGAGGAAGCCCCATTTTGATTACATTTTCTGAAAATATAATCCTCGATGACATGTAACAATATCAGGAAATCAATTTAAGGGTCTTTCATATGGAAGGAGTTGTGTCTCATGCTGTAAATCACTTATTTTGAGGTGGGGTCAGATTTTTGTGATTTGAAGGGAAAAATATTGACTCGTGGGGATTTGGTTTTGTTGATGAAGTGTTCATTTGTTTTAGGTGTACGTACATGTATTTGTATGGCATTGTACATTTTGTGGGGATAAAATGAAATTCCTCCACAAAACTTCGTAATTTTACAATATTCATTTGAATAGGAGAATATAATTTATGTCAAGGAATATAACAAACATTATTTGTTTTAATAAATTAGGATCAGAAGAAAAGGCCAAGAGAGGAAGAACCTGCGAGAAGATGGGAAAGTGACATCGATTAAAAAAAATTGACCAAACCCAAGATGACCATTCATGGAGATCTGTATTATGCGTAGGTTGTCAGTGAAACAACTGGTCAGTCGGCCAGACGTGGTGGAGATGCACGATGTCACCGCCCAGGACCCCCGTCTCCTGGTCCACCTGAAGGCCACGAGGAACACTGTCCCCGTACCCCGCCACTGGTGCTTCAAAAGGAAGTATCTCCAGGGCAAAAGGGGTATTGAGAAACCTCCATTTGAATTACCTGATTACATTAAGGCAACTGGCATAATGGAGATGAGAGAGGCTCTTGCTGAAAAGGTTAATAAGGATTTAATAACACGATAGTTAATTAAAATCTATCTGAAATTCTCAATGTAAGATATTAAGAAGGGTACTCTTTTTGGTTTTTTAACACAAGTACCTTCCACAGAGTATCCTAGCGATTTCTTTCTTGAAGCGGAAAGTGTTGCTCGTTTTTTGAACATCCTGTTGGAACACTTGGAGTAACTAGGAGATTTTTTTGCATGTTATTCTACTCTATACCATATGTACATATGTGTTAATAGTTTAATGGAAATATAGAAGTGTGTATTTATCTTTGCTCTACACAGGAGGATCAGAAGAATTTGAAGGCCAAGATGAGGGAGAAGGTGCGACCAAAGATGGGAAAGATTGACATCGATTACCAGAAACTTCACGATGCTTTCTTCCGCTGGCAGACCAAACCCAAGATGACCATTCATGGAGATCTGTATTATGAAGTAGGTTGTCAAGTGAATTATTGGGATTTAGTTTTAGTCTGACTTTTGCAGAAAACAGTACTAAAAAATGATAATACAAGTGGCTATTTGAGTTTGCAATAAATGAATTTCATTATAAAAATTCATTTTTATTGAATTTGGAAGCTCAAAAATTATTCTACTGTGAAGAGAACAAGTGAAAATTTGAATCAGTTGAATTAAAAGTCCTTCTTGTCCTCTATCCCTCTATATCTTAGAATGTCAAGAACGTTTTGGAAAATAATTCAAAATTGAATGTGCATGTACATATGTATATATCCACTCCAAAGAATTCGCAATATGGGTTTTGAATTGACAATGTATTTCAAAACAGGTTTGCGTTGCGGTTACTGTAATAATGTTTTTGTGTAATTCAATAGGGAAAAGAATTTGAAACCAGACTTAAGGAGAAAAAGCCAGGGAATCTCTCAGATGAGCTGAAAACTGCTTTAGGAATGCCACTGGGTCATGTAAGCACACTGCTTTATTCAACAAGAAAAAAAAGCAAATATAAAGAAATCAAACCTAATACTTGTAATTACCTGAGAAAGTTGTGATCAACTTTCAGTTGAAAATTTCAATACTTGAACATGCAAGTTTTGTTAAAAATAATGATGTGTTTCATGTTTAAATTAAAAACATGTGCTGTGATTGTTGTTTAATATTATTTCATATATTTTTTAACAGAATTCTGAGAAGTTTCCTCCTCCCTGGTTAATTGCCATGCAGCGATACGGACCTCCCCCTTCATATCCCAACCTGAAGATACCCGGACTGAGTGCACCCATACCTGAGGTATGCATAATGAAAACCTCCACTGAGTGGACATTACAGCTGTGCCACAATTTTACACTAGGTTTGAATCTTGTTATAACATTTTTAATCTTAATCTTTGAATTCTTGTTTAAGGGTTGTTCATTTGGATACCATGCAGGTGGTTGGGGTAAACCACCGGTTGATGAAAATGGTAAACCACTGTATGGTGATGTGTTTGGAACACAAAGTTCAGAATTCCAGGTCAGTTATTAATTATGCAGCAGTAAAATAAGGTGTTTTAAGTGAATTTAAAAATGATTGAATCTTGGATATTGATGCTTAATAGATTTTGGAGCATTTTTTTAATGTATTTTTATGTATTCTTTACAGACTCCAGTACAAGAGGAGGAAATAGACAAATCTCTGTGGGGAGAAATGGAGGAGGAGTCTTCCTCAGAAGAGGAGTCAGAGGAAGAAGAAGAAGAGGAGGAGGACACCTCAGGATTGGTTACTCCAGGACCAGAGGGGTAAGCTACCTTAAAAACTAATCCTCTCTTTGCTTTTATAAGTTTAGTTAAACCATTGGTTTCAAGGGAAACATATTTTAATAAGGGCCTCTCTTGAATGAATTTTTTCTAGATTTTTGTAAGTTTTTGAACAGATGGAGATTGAAATAAATTAGGCAAATTAGTATATCATGCAGATATAAAGGAATCAAGAGTTTTTGATTTCAGACTCAGATTGAATTTTAAAAAATAATTATCAGATGCATGTAAAGCAAATTTTTTTGTGAGGGAGTAAATTCTATTTTCAGTCTGGTGACTCCCAGTGGAATAACCTCTGTACCTATGGGAATGGAGACCCCCGATATGATAGAACTGAGGAAGAAGAGGATAGAGGATGCCATGGATCAGGGAGGGGAAACACCGGCTCTCTATACCATCTTACCCGAGAAAAAAGCAGCAGTGGGTGGAGCTATGATGGGATCCGCCCACGTATATGACACAACAGCTGTAAGTACCAGTATTTACTGCACATTGTGATCAGCAGTGTTAATAGGCAAACACCCCCCCCCCCTCCTCCCTGATACACCCCCACCCCCAAAACAATAATACATTGTCAAAATTAGCATTCTTTGGGTAAGGGTGACCAATAAAATCTATGAACATTGAGGACCCTACACAAGCAGAATTGATTTCACAATATAGTCCCTGCATTGAATGATAAAACTATAACTTTTATTTGGTCTCTGTAGGTAACAGCTGGTAAGAAAGACAAGCCAGGTACAGAGGGTATAGAGGTGGCCTTGAATCCCGAGGAGTTAGACCTGGACACTGCTGCCATGCAGGCTAAGTATGACCAGACAATGAGGGAGCAGCAGTCCCAGCTGGAGAAGGAGGATCTCAGTGATATGGTGGCTGAACACGCAGCCAAACAAAAGGTATTTTACCCTTTACTTCTTACAAGCAGTCATGGATTATTAATAGGTCCCTAGTTATTTTCTTTTTTAATTCAATCAGTTAAAGCTTTATTTATGCAAATTTACATTTACTTGTAAACAACAGAAAAAAAAAAAAACTGAAACCCTGTTTTAACAGAAGTAAAAGAAGGAACATATCTATGCATTTCATTAAAAAAATCCAGCTGATTTTGAAAAATTTTTATGCCAAAAATGGAGAAAATCATTTTAGAAATAAACTTTAAACCAGTTTTGACAGTTATACACTTTCCTTATATTGAAGAAGGCATTAGCATAAAATTGTTTCAATTATTTCTTTATATATTAACATGTCGGCACAGATGTATTTCAATCATGTTTGTGCTCTTGTTTTTCAGAAAAGAAAGAAACAACAACAGGATGGTGGAAAAGCAGCGAAAAAATACAAGGAGTTCAAGTTCTAGTGGACTAGTGCTTTATATTGACCATTTACTGTTGTCTTGTGATCACAATCATTGTCGGAAATTAATTTCAAGGACATTATATCATTCACATCAGCCATGTTTTTCAGATATAGGGATTTGAAAAAAATCATGAATTTTACTTCATTTTCTTTGTATATTGTACAAAAAATGTGGGAATACATTTTTTAAAATTTCATGGTATTTACTTGGTTATTCTTGTAGGAAATCTAGATACACATTAGTCTGTATAAACATAAAGAAAGGTTGAACCAACAGACGACAAAGATTAAAATCTGTCTCTATGACTATTTAAAAAGTGCTGTATCAAATGAGCTCCATGGCAATCAAAGCCGCTTGATCATCACTAAAGTGTCTTTGCCCTATACTTGTAAGATACAAACCCCGACTCTTTTGCTGGATCCTGGTCACGACACCAAATTAAAATCAGAGTAAAATGGGATCATTGATTCGGATGCTTCATGTACACCTACGGAGCAAAATGAATGGGAATTGGAATAAATTTATTTATATGTTATTCACATAACTTATTATTATTATCTATTTAGACTACAAACACTTAGTTATTTGAGGACTTCAGTCTAGATGATTTGCTCAGTATTGTTATAACAGGTCACTGTTGTATTTTCTGTAAACTTGGCTTAAAACAACACTTTTATGTTATGATATTTGTACATTTTTATTCTCTTCAATTACAAGTCGTGTTTTTGATTTTACTCTTCCCTTGTCACAAGTTTGAACACAAATTTGTAGCACTTCCATCACACAACACATTGTAGCACTATGAAAATTAACAAATCACAAATGCATGGTGGGTTTGTGGTTCTTTGACAATGCTTCAGTCAGTCCATATGTAGTATGGATAGACAGGAGAGAAGTGGTGGTCTCCCTTCATGTCCTCAGGGTCGTCTTCTTCCTTTATACAGACCCCTCCCAGCCGGGACTCCATATAGGTCAATGATACTATAAACAGAATTAATAATTTGTAAGTAATCGTTTTTCAAGAAAGAAGTTTTTGTAATTATATTTGATTAGAAGCAATTCACATGGGCTGTGCGTGCTGTCCACTTTAAATTTTTACTGGAAGAGAGTTTTTGCAGGATTAATTTTATTTATTTAATGTAAATATTTTTTTTAATTCCATATAGTTTTGTTTTATCGTACATGTAATTATGCGAGATCATCTGCTCGAAATTTTGAAAATAGGCCGTGTTCTTTTTTAATTTAATGTTTATTTCTTTGTTGATACCGTTATAATAATTGACTGCATCCAAAGAAAATGGAGAAACACAAGTAGATTTTTGAAATCAGCTCACCAGCATACTGATCCGAAAAAGCATGCGATGACGTGGACCGTTGACCCCGTGACCTTGAGTCATGTCGAGGCGATTGTGGAATTGGTCTCATGGTAGAACGTAATGGTACGGTTCCAACAATGATTTCTAGTGGTACATACATCTCAAACGACGGTCCAACAGCGTCTACTCGTAACTAAAACAAGGATACATTTATTCTTTAAGGTATAAGGAGACAAGTTTGTTTAAAGTAGTATGAAAGCACTTTTCAAAATTATATTCCACCGAAATTTAAATTCATTTATCTTTAATTAATAAAATTTAAGACTGGGTGATCTTCAAATATACTACAGAACTGGTTATATTCGCTCAATACTTCGTTTATATAGAGATTCAGAATCTTGGTTATTCAAAAATGTTCCCGTAACTTCGTTATAGCCGAGTTTTACTGTATATCGATGAAGTATATGTAAATATACTGAATTCACATTCAGTGATGTACTTTCAGTATCATATCGATCAGCTCTCTCTCTAGAACACTGATGGCTGATTTTTCACAAAAAAATTTATCTAAGTTTTCAGAACATCTGTTACAGATTTTCTTATAAATATATTTACACCTGCACAATAACACAACTATCAATTCCCAAAATATTTCATTTTTAATAATGGAAGGTTTTGGGTATCTGAATAGATATGCTAGAAATCAAAATGTCAGAAACAGTAAAAGTGTTAAGAGTATTGTTCAAATCAGCTTTGGTTTTGCGTCAAGGCAGATCTGATAAAAACAGTAAAGATAATGAACAATGTCCGACCTCATCAAAGCTACTTAGTGAACAGGGCATAAACTAAAGCCCCTGGAAATTCTTAAGGCGGGATCAGGGACCTAGGGGGTAGTAAGTATTCCCTGTTGTATAAAGGTTACGCCAGGATACCAAGGATCATATGGAAAAGCTTTTCGTATTTATCAAAACAGTCAAACCTTGATACTTCGGAGGGCAACCACCTTTAATTCCGAATAAAATTTACGAGGAATAGAAATTATATCTAATAAATGTATAATCTGGACGCTTATATTTAATCTGAAAGGTTGCCTAGAGACAAAAACATCGAAATAATTAAATATATTATCATATTCTACAGTTACATGTATATATATGTAACCCTATTATGTACCTCTAATTTGTATTGTATATCTATAACGTTACATCCAAATAGAAAACTGGGAGGAAGTGCAGGAAGGGGTATCCCTTGGTCTGCCCACGTGCTTGTTGTGCCCCGGGGTACTGAACCATGGATGATTTTGTCGATCTGTGTGCTTACAGTTCGAGACTCGTCAGAGCTGTGAAAATTCGTTGTCTGAAAAAAAAGAATAAAAATTTGAATTTTTATACCATTTTTAGTCATTTTAGAATGATACTCTGGAACAAAACTCTGGAAAAGCTAGCAGATCGTCAAAATATTTATTACATTACATTATATGTACCATTGTGAGTGTTATGGACGAACTTGCTATTTTCCGACTGGACAGATTTTCGATTTCGACTGTGACGGGAACTATGTCTCCTGGAACATAGCCCCTTCTTGGAAGCGATAGAAAAGCGCTTATTGGACCAGAAGTACAACATAAACAACACAAGTTCTTCGTAAGCGTCATGCCAGTAGGAGACTGAAACAAGAAAATCCTTATGCTAATTAAAAATAATTCAGCTGTTAAAATTGAAAAAAAAATTATCTCACTTTAAAACCGACCATTAGAACTCACTTCTATTTGTGGAAAAGTGTTCAAGTCCAGAGGACCAATCACAGAAAAGGCAGTTTTAGTCACATGGGTAAACCTCTTTGGTTTTTCTATGGTCCCTTTAATTGTGTACCTCACCTGACCATATTCCCCTTCAAATGAAGATGGGAGGTTTTGAGGGAGCTGGAACTGAAATGGGTAACAATAGTTCCCTCGCAGTAATGTCAGCTTTGGAGCATCGTTTTCTGTAAGGTTTAGATTAAAGAAGAACAATATGCGTTTGTGAAACACTGATGCCCCCAAATGGCAACATAGCGAAGATTAAACTTTTTTTAAACGCAGATTTAATTTATTTCTACCCCAAATAGGGTATTCTCACTGGAATTACAATTGTGAAATATGAATGTAGACCAAAGTTAATTTTTTTTCATAAGTACGGAAATCTCCTGGTCAAGGTCAAAAGGTAAGGTAATTGGTGTCAAATGAAAGGTCTTGTCACAAAGATTATACATGTATATGTAATGTGTGAAAGCACTAGCCCTAACCCTTCAAAAGTTATGGCCTAGGCTAAAATTTTTAAAAAGTAGGTCAAACTCTAAGGTCAAGGTCAAAGTTCTTTTTATCCAATGAAAGGTCTTTTCACAAGGATTACACTTTGGAGTATGAAAGCACTAGCCCTAACCGTTCAAAAGTTATGACCAAGGTTAAAGTATTTTCAAAAGTACAGAAATCTCCAAGGTCAAGGTCAAAGTTGTTGGTATCCAATGAAAGGTCTTTTCACAAAAAATACATATATGAAGTATAAAAATACTAATGTTCAAAAGATATGGCCAAAGTAAAAGTTTGGAATTTTTGTGTAAAAGTGTGTCAAACGTCAAGGTCAAGGTCAAATTTGGTGGTATCCAAAGAAAGGTCTTGTCACAAGGAATATACATGTACTTGTGAAATATGAAAGTCATAAATCCACTAAATCAAAAGTTAAGGGCAAGGTTAAAGTTTTTCTTACAAACAGAGAGACAGACAGACAGACAGGCGGACGGACACGACAAAAACTATATACCCCCGAAATTTCGTTTATGGGGGGGGGGGGCATAAAAAACTAAATTATACACGTAGAAATGCATCTATTTATTTTTAGATTTAAACTATAAAAGTAATTTTATGATGTAATATTTTCCCCAATACCATTGCTCCCAAGGACTGTCGTTGTGAAGTCAAAGTATTCTTCGTGAGCCGAATGATGGCGTGTTCCAGGGGTTCGCAAAGGAGCTGGTCCACGCATGCGCTGATCAGTCCAGTGGACAAATGCTTCACCTTTCACATACACCCGGATACCTTAAGAATTTTTATTAAGTTTTTATAAAACGTTTTGTTCAATGTTCAGTTACATGATAAATCTTCGAAACACGCATCGACTAGGTTTTATATATCCTCAAATGAAAAGAAAAAAATTATCAGCAATAGTCTATAAACATATAGATTATATTATATGGATATATATGCATGCGCAAAAACTTGAGTTTTTCAACTCTGAAAACAGTGTTCTCCTTACTCATGTTACTTTTGTGGGGAAATTTAGTGTAGACAAATGTATAAGTATTATAAATAGTACATTTTTACACGATTAACTATTTCATGTGTTTACCTGAAACGCAAGAGCATCCTCTACCTATAAGCAATTTCTAAAACGAGGTAAGTTGCAGACAAACAAATTGATGAAGCAAGAATATCGACTGTCTCGTTTAAAGTCATCATTTCGTAAGTAAGAATGATTTACATTGTCAGAAAATACGTAAGTTACACTGATCTTGTCAGCAAATACAATTTATCATAAAGTCAAACGCTCGACTGACTTGTTAGGTCATTATTTACACACTGAATTTTTGACGTTTTTTTTTTCGAACATGACAAGGAGAACAGACGGACGTACCGATCAGCAGGGGATGTTTACTCATCTATAGCACCTGATCCCATCTCTGAAGTTTAAGGGGTCCGTGTTTTGTATTGTTTGAATGGAATTTTGTGCTTTTAAACTATTTGTTATCTCCTTATATTTCAATTGAGACATAGAATTGTCATAATTTCAATATTTAATTAACAATGTTTCGTTACCCTCTGGTATGTCTTTGCAAATTATTGGAATCATATAATATTTGCCTGGTTTCATTGCAAAGCTCTACCTTTAAATTGATGCTTAATTTTCTTGAAAATATTCTTTTCATTGATTGCAAATGAGAACTTCGCCGGTAGATCTTCACGAACTCTCACAATTAAAGGATATGCATCGTATCAAAATCCATTTGGGGAGTTATCAAAAGCACGAATACCGTGTTGCTTCATTTGAGATTCCAGCATATAAATGGACATCAGGACTGATTCGGATGATCAAATTATTTTACAATTTAGATGAGTTTATTTGTAAATTTCTCATGGATAATTCAATTTATATGTTGACCGTTTTCTTGTTGTTGTCGAGACGTTCAGACAGACGGAAGTTTATGGCATGAAATGCCAGCAAATTACTCAAAATCTCCCAAAGGGATTAAAAGTTTGTGTGATTTCCTACAAGAAATATTTCCTCGGAGGTCCTCAGAGATTTATAAAATTTGCAATAAATTAACAAACAGGAGCTCTCAGTGAAATCCATTAAGAGAAAACAGCTTACAAATGACTTACACCATAATGTAGCAGTTAGAAATCATTACAGACGATATCAGCTTCACAAACAAGTGAGAAAAACATATTTTTGAAAATTCGGATATCATTAAGACGAGAAAAGAGATTCAATGTAATGAGTAAAACAGAGGAAGCTGATGGCTCTATCAATGTCTGTCTCAGATGCATGAATGCTACAAGTACGAAAAATTCAGCGATTAGCATAATGATTGATCATTTCACACGAACGCTTGCAGATTTATTTAATTTCGTTTAATGATTCATTGAGCCAATGAAAATTTATGGTTTAACTGCAGCAAGTTGTAGGTACATTCGTTAATGCAACTTATTCAGTAACCAAATTTTAAGATGATAATTCTTGTAGGCATAGGTTCTGTGTAAGAGAGAATTATGTAGTTTTTTAAATTTACCAAATCAACACATAATTTTCATTGGAAGAGAGCAACTGTTGGGTCAAAAGGGTTAAACTTGATCCAAAATTTGTTTACATGCAGGAAAGAAAAATTTAAGAACACCGTATATATAATGATGTAAGGCCGGAATTAAAAATATCTTTGTTTCCCCTAACCCGACCCTAAATTCTCAAGTTGGGTCGGTAGGTAGGTAAACAATTTTAATTTCTGACAGCAGCTTTGAAAATACATTCTAAAATTTAATGGAAAATAACCTTTATAAATAAGAAAAGTTCAAAAGAAAGCGATTTGTGAACAAAATGCTAAGTATCGTACATATGCCGTTTAAAAACAAAATTCATGATTAATTTACAACTGTTGTTTAGTTGAATTTGTGAAATATCTCACGCCATTACATTAATATAAATTGAATAAAATAGACAAGATTCTCAAATACGCAAAGACTAGACATACGAGTATATTTTTTCAAACCTTCCATCAGCCTTCAGAGCTTATAGACGATCAATGTACTTTTTTGAGGGCCATGAGATTTGCAGTGGTTCTGGAGCATTTTGGTTTGGAGTTAAGAAGTAAATGGCTAATTTTAAATCGCAGGTTCAAATCCTTATGAGTAACATTGAAAACGGTCCTTCAAAGGGGACCATAAAAACTTATGTCCAGTGTCGCAGAAGATGCTGGCTCAAAAAAAGATCCCCCACTGCTTAATGGCAAAAAAGTGCTGAGTACGTCTAAATTTGGAGCAATGGGAAATGTCATCCAAACAAATCTTGAAAGGATTAAAAGCAAAGAAACAACCAATTTTCAAGGGCCTAATTAAAGAAAAATACACTGAACGTCTCAGGAAGCTGAATCATGATTTCAAAACTATTTGGAAAGAGTATGTTAACAATATTTAATTAAACCAAACCGAATCTACAAATGATACAAATGCTATATACAATGTCATAGTCACGAAGTTTAACCACTAAATAAAAGCATGAAGAAACGTAAAGAAAGGACATCTGAATTATATTAATCAGGATGAATATGCAAACATATTTACAACTCCTATGGTTCCATAATGGCATATACTGTAGTAAACATAGGAACATAGATGAATTGGTTATTAGATCAAAACTCAAATTAAATAAAATGCAGTGAAATTGAATGATGTGTTCACTAGATGGGCCCCTCATCTACTCATGAGGCGGGCCTTACCCTGTATTACGTACCTTAAATTCAAATACAGGTTTATTTGTTTGTTGTTTAACGTCCCTTTCGAAAATTTATTCACTCCTATGTAGACGCCAAGACACCTCCGAAACACTCTTAATTAGTCATGGTAATTTTATTACCGAATTGTTTCAAGAGTGAAGAATTCCAATTCCTGACAAAAGCGTCGCCTTTGTTTAATAAAGAGCTAATGCCTAGTAATCACATCTGGGCGTCATTTTGTTTCCAACAAATGCTTGAAAATCACAGTAAAACAATGTCGGCCGGACTGATAAAAACCGATTTTGATGAAATTGTATTTTATAAAACTTGGTTAACAATAAAAAAAATTATTAAATAATCATATTCAAAAAATCTTTTCAGTCGGTGCGATTTAGTTGAGTCGGTCGCGTTAGGGGAAACAAAAGTATTTTTTATTTTGGCCTAAAGAAATGCATTTTAAATAAACTTTGACTTCATAAACATAAATATGTTTTGCATGAGAGATGTTTTGCATGAGAAAATGGCCGAAACAGACCCGAAAACTTCTCTATTGAAATATTGTTTCCATGACGTTCCCTTCCCCCAAACTTGAAACCCGGCTAGGTCCCGCCCGTTTCTTTTAACATTTGCTCTGTGTCTTTGTCATGAAAACTATCATAATTAATCTGAGTCTACTTACATTGCAGATTTAACGGTTTATCAACTTCAACGTTAAGGTATCCTTGGACATTTTGTCCTGCGTAATAAATGGCAACCGGATTCCCAAAATTAATGTAAAATCGGGCAAGTTTAGGCATACTTCATTGAAATCCCCTTCTTGTATTCCATCAATGTAAACACGAGATCTCAGATGTTTCGCTCACTGCTGCTGGTGTTGTAAATTTGTCGGAGATAACAAACGATCGTAGAAAATTACTAACGTCTGCCAGATGAAGCACGTGCTTGGCCATGCAACGCAGACGACAGAACTCTCAGCGTCGTATCAGCCAAACACATGCATAAGCTTAACTTTTTATTAAAATAGAACTATGTTCTTAATTTGTGTAAAAATTTTATAATTTAATAAAGGATCAACAGTTCGGGTGAGTTTTTTGCTTTATGTCGCTCATAGTTTTTTATTCCACATTTGTAGACATTAATTAGATATTTCAACTGGAAAATCGATGTCAACCAATTACAGTTATCAAATATATGTAAAATGTGTAATTCAAATATAAATTTCAGCATGAAACTTCAGAAATCTTTAATTAAAAGATGTTGAATTTTTGAAGCTCTGTACACTAATCTGGAATTACTACTCCTTTTCTAATGAACATGTTAACTTGTGATAATGAGGATTTTTTTTAAAGAATATCTTCTGTGAAAGTCTCATATATTTGGATTTTCGTCAGCAGTCCTGAACAATTTACTGTCATTAATTGATTTTGAATAACGCGCAATTTCCGCTTAACCCCAAATTATCCTAGTGAAGACTGTCAAACCAATGTCAGTAACACAGACTTTCATCCATCAGAACCTCCGAAGAAAATAGTTAATTACAGATTACGTCAAGATCTAGTGAAAGAGAAGTGTCTTCGTACGTAATGATACACTTCGATATACTTCGATACATCGGTAAACAACTGCATGTAGTTCAAGAAGGTCGTTAGCTTTATATGTTTCCCTTGATTCAGGTGATTTATAGAAAGGCAATAATTACTGCACATAAGTACTAAAGGAAACCGAACGGAAGCAATTATCTCCAAAAATCAATGAACTAAAGAAGCTCCCAGAATGTTCAACAAAATGCCATCTTCTGGTGTGGGAAAGCATACTTCTGCGAAAAAAGCAAGTAAAAATTTAATGTCTTACAATTAATTTTAATCACTTTATCAAGACAAACAAAATACAAAACACACTGCATGTCGCATCTACACGATGACGTCATTTACACATCTGCGACGAGTGTTTGAGTGGCTCTCTTATCGCTGTTGAGAAACTTCATATTCTTTAATATAGTAGAGATCGTTTCTTGGTGATGCTGATCATGCGAATGATTGGATAATGTACTTGCAATACTTATCGTATCATCTGAAAACGAAGAAATAATTAGGAGTGAAAACAAATCTAATATGAAGTCGAGAAAATTAGACTTTTCGACTAGTTACCTTTAGTGCTGACACAGCAAGCTCCGGGGTATGACTTAGGAAGGAAATTAATCATTTCTGAACCTTCATGTGTTATTTCATCTGATGGTACTGAAATTAAAAACCGAGTTCATGTAGCTGTAGCAATATTAGAAAAACAGAGGCCACAGAGGATAATGCTAAAAAATTTCCTTGAAAGAATTTTGAAAGTCTTAGAAAGTATTAGAAGAAGGCTCGCACTACTCACATTTATCCAAGAGGAATTTCATAAAAGAAAATCTTTCATAATTATTCCAAGGGAGAATATCTCGTAAAACATGAGTTTTCATCAAATGAAAGTAACAAGGGCGGGAATATATATATATATTTTACGTTTTAGACCTCATCTCACCTCTAGAATTCTTCTGTTTTCCGGAGGATGACCTGGTGGGTGGTCTGCCATCAAGTGTATCCCATGATTCATTGTGAGTTCCGGAGAAAGAACTCAGTGATTTCAGTAATGGATGTCTGTTTGCCGACTGTGGAGAAGTCTGAAGAGATTTGGAGCTCTGTCTGGGAGAGTTGTTGGTGGTTGGATTCCATTGATTTCGTATTATCCTGGATCCATTGAAACCTGAAAGACACTGAGGCATTAGGAACTTGCTCTATGCAAAAACAAAAGAATTTCAGGGTCTTGGACATGTTGGAGATTTAATACCATTTCTTGATGGCGGTCGTCTTGTTGGTGTCGGAGGAACAGATTCTGTCTGTATAGTATCATCAACTATTGAATGAAAATAAAACAATATTAAGAATTATTTGTGAATTTTCTATTGGAAACATTTCAAGCTAAGCTCATATAATGTGAATGTACTGATATACCGTTGATTGGCTTTCTATTAGGGATGTGTAAGCAAACACACGCTTTGTTTCGTGCTCGAAACCAGCATTTGGTATCGTTGCTTTCGTCATCATTTCCTTCCAAATGTGACGCAATGGAGTCATCCAACTTTGCACGACGTGAAACTTCCAAGTCAATTATGGACCACTCTTGTTTGTATTCCCGAATGACGTGTTCTAACTTCTGTTTGAATATGTCGTCTGCTGTGTCATATTCGTTCAGCTTTGGACCGTCACAAAAGATTTTCAAGATGAGTAGTGGTAGAAGGCCAAATAAAATGTAAACTAACAGATGACCCCACCATGGCAGACTAGGATATACTATTTTAACCAACAGAATTACAGCTACAATGTAAACTGCTAAAAGGAATGATTTGATCATGGCATCATAGTAATGGTTTGAAAGAGATCCAGGGCATGAAAAGTGCTTCATGTAGCATGTCTGAAAAAAGAAATTTTTGGGGATGCAAGGTTCACCTTTGTCATCCACAAACTGCACTAAATGGCGGGCTTTCCATTTTGGCACGCCATTTCTTGTGGTAAAAACATGACAGGCAGCGCATCTTCCACAACCTCTGCCAGGAATTACTTGGTAACAACGGTTTGTGTCTGGAATCGTGTCATCGTGCAAGTTTTTATTGATCAGTGTTCGTGTATGTCTCTCCAAAAGAAAGTTTTGAACTTTGTTGTTAAAATGCTGAAATGTTCTTTCCACGCGTTTCAGAAACATGCATGCATAAAGATATGTAAAAAGTACAATTAAATAATACTGTGCTAAGTGACGTATATTTGCTACAAGGCATATTATGATGAGGAACAAAATGTCAACAATGATAAACGTTATGTCTATGAAGATTGGAATCGCACAAATTAGGAATGCTAACCAACCAAAGCAAATAATACACCACCAAAATCGTGCACAAGGAGATCTAGGGAAGGTTGCGCCCTCTATGTCTATCTCTCCAACCTCGATTGGAGGAAGATTAAGGAAGCCTCTGACACTTTTCTCACAGGTATTTTTAGATTTTTCCAGAACGAGGTCCTCCATATCGCTTCGCTTGTCCTCATCGTTCGATTTCCTCACACACTTTACAATTTCTCCCAAGAATCTCCAGAATAATTGCAAGAACACATTGATGGTCGACAACTTACAAAACAAAAGGACAAGTATGGCAATAAATAAGGATGTTAATTTGACAGTCACCCACAGGAATATGTGAACAGCATTTACATCCGTTAGAGCATTGCTGGTGAAAGATCTCAGGAGAAAAGATGCCGCCCAACTGGTTCCGACATTGGAAAAATGTTTCGCATAAACCAGACTTCTTACAAAAATCCACACGGTCCTTTTCCAAAGTGTGTCGTCTGTAGAAATTCTTATAATAATTAGCATCAACAATGGCAAAAACCATAGGGCAAAACATGCCTGATATAGACTGTAACAGCCGTGAATAAACGATAAAGAGATCAGTTTTGTGGAAAACAATGACAGAGTCATTGTTAAGTTACTTTGTTTTGCTGCTTCTAGTTTATTTTTAACGAAATCTTCTTCGTAATCCCAATACACTGTTATAGCAATTATTGGGATCCAGAATGCGAAAAGAGCTGCAAATGCTTGCATCATATTTCGTAAAAAGGATTCCCATGTGCTATCCTTCGATATTTTGCGTTTGCAGCAGTTGTGCAGAGACACGTACTCATCGTCAACACCATCTTCTGTATGTTCAAGCACTTTCTGTTTGCGTCCGTGCACGTAACACTTGCATTGAAAAAGTCGGCGATAGAGAAAGGAGAAAAATCCTACAGGAGCCTTGTTTCTCCTAACCAGACGATCAGGATCCCCTTTAAACCAAACAGCCCTCAACTTGAAGTGCTCAGTTTTACTCATTTCCATGGTCTCTATGACGTCAGAGAGTCTGTGGAGATTCTCTCCAAGCTTCATTCGATGTTGATATCCACAAGAAACGTACTCAGTTCCTAGGTTAACAGTTCTTAATTTAGAAACATTAGGTGGAGTTGAAAAACGCTTTGTAATTTCAATTTCTAAAGGGGCTGTCAAAGAAAATATGAATTCCTTGTAGCAATGTCGTTTTCTATATAGAGATGTTGGGATGAAACGTGCAATAAAGATTACCAGTAATATCTTCAATATGAAAATAAAACCAAAGAAGATTTCCACTAAGTAGTCTTCCTGTATTATTTGACAAGATATAACACCACTAGAATTTCTTGAGCAGCAATTAAATATTTCAACAGCAGTTCCCGATACATTCATAACTTCCTTTGCGCACACATTAATGGATTCTGAAACATGACTGTGGATGTGGTTTAAGACTAGCTGGCGGATCTTTACACGGAAAGCATCGTTTCGAAAATCACCAAGACAGTTACTTGGATTCTCCAAAACCGAAAAGTCGTTTGTTTGAAAGGAAGTAGATAATGCCCAGTGCGCAATTGGATTGAAAGTATTCACAGAAAAAAGAACGTTGCGTATTCCATCTTCACGAACCAGCATCCAATCAGTGGTGCTGTTGGTCATTTGATCACGGTGAACCTTGACCTTTAACCCGTCAACTTCGCCTCGTTTCAACATCCGCAGGGAATTCAAAGGTAAACCTTGCAAGATCTTCGATACACACGGGCTACTTATGGCAAAATCTTCCCTTTGAGTGGTATTCAGTTTGGTTTCTGAGGACACACTTCCAAAGCGAGATAATAATGCACCCAGTACAAAGACACACGAAATTCCACGAGCCATTTCTGTGAATTTTCCTCGTCAAGGATTCAAGAACACGCCAAGGTCCAAGGTTCGGTGAAATGCACGGTGCATTTCACCTGCAATAAACTGACTTACCATATATTAGTTCTTAATCAAGCTTGACTATTTGTTGACAGAGGGTAAATTAATACCCAGATAATCTTTTACGAGTTACACAACGCAAGTAATCAAGCGAGGCACTGATTGACGGTTAAGTTTAAAAGTAAACCTATTTGTTTTAGACGGAATCTCAAAGCGCAGAACAATAATACACAATATTCCGATAATAAGACAAACGATTTAAATAATAGGAGGGATTTAATTCTGAATGTACATATATATTCAATAGCGATTCCTTGTCTTGGACATGTATTTAGTTGTAACTCCATTGTTCTTTCAAATTGTTTCGTTGTTTTCGGTAAACATCTAATCTCTTACAACTAGTTGTTATATTTTAAAGGTGTTTGCACGCCAGAAAGTTTTAAAAGGAAAGTTGCAATTAAAAGCCTGACAGGGTAAAATAAAACTTGAATACTTTGCAGTCCCAACCAGTATCTCTCGATCGTGAAAACGATGTTTCCGGACACCCCCTCCCTTCCAGTTGTAACAGCTGACAAACTTCTATTGTAAGCACGAACTGACCAGGAACCCCCATCCCA